ATTTCACCCAGAATCCCGAATTTCCCTTCTCTCCATCGAACAACAGTTAAGCACATAAATTTATTTTCACTAAAAAATCACTGGATGAGAGGTATACAGTGATCAAGCTTATAGCTGTGCCTCATTAACTCCATAAAATCAATTTAATGGTTCTATCATCGTTAGGAAATAGTATATTCTCCATACTGTTTACATATTTAATAGTTCATCCGTGCTTTCGGTAATTATTGATCGTAAAGTCATCAAAAGTGGGGCAAGATAACGTAAAGTAGTAAAATCATGTCGGCATTAATCAGAAAATATTGTAAAAACAATTTATTTCAGAAACTAAAGTTTCGAAAAGAAAACAATAGCCCACAGAATGTTGAAAGATATGAATTTTTGGCACTTTGATGAAAAAGCAACAGGTGGAAAATGTGGGTGGACCCCAGCATCGATGCATTTGAATAATTGGAATGAGAGCGGTGTGACCACTGTGTCGTACAGTGCCTCTGGGTTCTCCACTCTTCCTCTCTGGCTGTGGCCAATGGTTGCCAAACTAAACACGCTCGCCGCCTATCTATTAGCTGATCTACTACGTTCAGCTATCGGGGAATTCAATCATTCCGCTGGATTTAACGACAAATTACAGTCTGAATGAAATTCTCTGATGAATTCTGATTCTGAGATTATGTTTGGAAGAAGATTAACGAGATAGAAAAAAAAAATTGAAGAACGAAATGAATAAACTTAACAACCGAACATCCTTGACTTTCACTCTGTACAAAATTGTATGGCTGTGTATACCATGACTAGATGGATTTTCTATATATTACCTTATATGCGGGTTCACTGAATCATTCGTGCATCTGAAGAGAAAATAAAAATATCAAATAGCAGAATAAATTCAGAATTTATTTCAACGTTTCAACAACATTCGTAATGTGATGTTTCAATTAAAATATCATTATTCAATGTACGAAGGTTGAAATTTTATAATGTGAATCTGATGTTTTGGACATTCTCTTTATTACATATTTGTTTCCGTATATTCATACTCATCCAAAGCGTATTATGAAGGTTTATCAGCATTCATGTATTACGGTTTTAATCAATTTTCAGTTGAAATCAGCATTTCGATCAGAGTGTTTGGTTTATTTCACAGCAATTTCGTTTGACATACAATCTGTAGAGCATTGCACTAAGACAGTATTTCGAAAATTAGTGTAAGAGGAATTTCAACCATTTTCCGGGGAGAATGAATGGCATATCCATGACAAACAGGCTTTTCAATCACAATTTTTTCCCTATTTCATCCGTGAGATCGACTCCAATCAATTGATTTTCACCCATCAATAAAAGAGTTGATTGTTTCCGAAAAAAAAAAATCCTTTCAACACTGAAGAGTCATTTGATCTACAATTCGAATTTGGAAAATAAGCGAAACGAAGATCGATGTTGGCGCGTCAAATTGATGTTACGCGGGTAGATTCAAATACCAAAACCAATTAAGCCAGTTAATTTCCTCATGATTTATGACTTAGCGGGTGGAAAGTGCTCTTGACCTTAAATGCATCGTGGATTCTTGCGCAATGCAGCACAAAACCAGAGGCCATACTCACACAACCCAAGAATCACTGATATGGAACCGGACTTCTCTCCCAACGCAATCGCAAACGATTGCAATCATCCACTCGTTACTTCTCACCCAGTGGAAAGGAGATCATTATTGCGTAGGACCCCCCTACACATTTAAACTTTATTTTTGCCTCGATGACTCATCATACAAATGAAACTGACTTTTTACGAGTGAAATTTTCGGGATCATCACAACGAAGGCTATTACTTGATGGTGATTAATGTTTCTTGGCGAGATTGAACATTCATTCGCGCTTGCTATTGGGACCTCATGACCCCTATCATTTAGATTTGAAAATAACACACATACATCGGGCCAAAAAAAGAAAGAGAAATTATTACGCTATGAAATAATCTGGCACGCTAATATTTTCATTGTCCATTCCTTCTGTTCGATGAATTTTATCTCTTCACTGCTGAAAAATCCATGTGAAGTCTGAAAGTTCATGATTTTGTTCTCTCTATATCGCATTCAATTACTAGTCCACTGTCTGTGAAATTTAATTTTTTTAAACAGTGTGCAATTGCGCTAAGACCGAAGGCTGCAATGAATTCACCAGCAAGAGCTCGAGCCATTGACGAATAAGAATAATATTTACGATACAAGAATAATATTTCCAATTCACAGACCTCTGTTCTTCGTGCGTCGTAAGTTAATATTGACGATTATAACAAGTATAAAAGAGTTACTGTTTCCAACTGTTGAGCCACTTGAGATCGTCCCAATTATGCTGTATAAACTCCCGTGTCAGTTCAAAACAATATTTCGTTGAATTCAAGACTTGCGGGCGATACAAAAGCAAATAAATTCATTTCGTGTAATTGTAAAATGCTGCACTGAGGTGAACTATTTACAGTCAACATTTTTTTCATTTAACCCGCGTTAATAATTGAATGATTCTTATTCATTATCTGTATCTTTCTGTCTCTCTCTCTCTCTCGATATTCCCTCGAAGTAACAAATTTTCCGCATGCGGATTTCAACCCCATGGTGATAATCACCAGTGAGGGAATAGAACCGGTGTCTCCCGCGGGCGTCGTTAATCCTGGGAAATATAACGTACCATCCGCGCAGTGAGCCAAATAATTTTTTACGCAGCGTGTGCACAGTCCCTTGACGGGCCTCGGGCAGAAACAGAATTGATCATACAAATTTTGATTAAAAAAAAACATTACAGGAATGAAATAAAAGTGAAAAAACTAACACAGTTATGAGTGTGGGCTATTGTCGGCAGCCGCGTGTGTTTCAGTTTACCGGGAGTCCTCGTTAGTCCAAAAATTTATAGAAATTGGTGGGTACCACCTGACGTAGAACGACGTGTTGGCCATTTCATTGTGATATTTGATACTGAAACCATAGTAAATTAAAAAAAAAAAAGATTCTGTACGGGAGGAAAAGAATAAAGTAAATTGAAAAAGGAATCAGATGATTGAGAAAAATTGAAGAATAAAATAAAGGAAGAGAAATCAAAGGACCATCTACGGTAGCATCTTCTTTCACAGTTCGCGAAGCTTCTCCCTTGTTGAGACTAGTGTTCCGAATGCTCATCGAACCGTACAGACAATGATATCCACCTTTGATTTCGTTCGTACTCTCAATTTTTTTTTCGCATCCCCCAACATTTTATTCTCCAACATCTTCCCTTTTGTCTTGGACGAGTGCCACAAAACATTGTTGCAATATCGAATTATTTATTCTCCGATTCGTCGGATACGAAGTAATATTAACTGGCTATCTCTGATGTTACATCCAGCATGAAATACCGTGCACCACTGGCAGATGATGGAAGTAAAGCTGATGACGTTAATGCATCACTCCCCCCATTCTATCCAAATTTCATTACATAAATTCAGTGTAAAAACCCTTCATTCGTGCATATATTTTGCAGCCGATGAGAGTTCTTTCTGAAGCGCAAAATTATCTTGCGAAATTTAGTAAAATTCATTCTCTCTACTTTCAGCATAATTGCCTGCTTCACAGGCTGCAGTATCACTTTGTGCGTCAATTTCCTCCGCTCACCTCACATTTTCCTCGGGTTTTTCAAAAATTGCTCGGATAATTCTATTCCATAATACCCCTGTTCCCCTCATTTTCTTCAAAACCACTCGCAAATTTCTTCTGAGAATGCCCTCTATCGGCAGTGCCATCGTACACCGGCATTACAGAAAGAAAAATTATCCAACCGGATATTCGCACCTCTCCCTCACCGCTAAACCATCGTGAGAGAATTATTTTTATCAGACACTAGTAATCCAACTACTAGACGGGGGGAAAAGATCAATCATTACGGCTGCACTTGGCTTTATCGTTTGAAACTTGAGATATATAAGTATTGTCAGTATCATTTTACGTGAAACTTGTGAAAAAGATTATTCAAGAAATACTTCACCGGCTAACTCCCGGAAACAGGGATCGGCATTCCAACATCTATCCGGCTGTTTGTGTGGACTGAGACCGCCGACACTGAACTTGGCCGCATGCCGAAGAAACTCTTAATTCATTCCGGCATTTTTTCTCTTGCCGATCCTTTTGGAGATTATCTCTCGCCAATCTGACTAAAATTGAAGCGTTTTTCAAAACCGTAAAAGAGAAGAAACTATTGTAAATTTGATAATAAGGTGACCTTCTCCATTCATTCACATTAAAATCCCCCATGATTAATTCAAAAGCATGAAATCCAAGTTCTCTGGGTATGTGGGTTGAGTTCACAAGTCTCTTTATACCTCAAAGGGCACAAATACCAGGAGTTAGTGGTATAAGTCAACATACAATCCCAACTCGTCCCTCATTTATGAGCGGAAACATTATTAACACGCAGACTCGAAGTATTATTTTTCTTCATCGCTCTATTTTTTTTGTCTCCCTCCACGTATATGAAATCTTTTTTTTTCCATTCCGATCCATTGTTTTGGTCATGGTGGTTTTCTCATGGAATAAGAGTTAGTGCGAATCGCGTGGGAAGGTTCGCAGGGGTTTTGAAGTTCAGTCTCTCGGCCGAGGCCACCAGTAATCTCCCCTTATTTCCCTTCCACCTGTAATTTTAATCAGAAAAAAAAAGAAGAGGAACAAAAAGAGGTGAAAATAACATCCATCGAGACACTCTAACCCAATTAATCGCGACCATTTTGTTTTCCTTATCTGGCATGAAGAGCGCCACTGCATTACAATTAATCAAGTAATTATGCAGCAAATCAAAATAATGATTTATTCATGTTAGTAATTAGTACGACACAAGTCTCTAGTGCTAATGCGATACGAGAGAAAATCACATCTGTGACAAAGCTGAATTCTATATGGTTTTAAGTCACATTTCATTTTCTTTTATTCTAAAGGACTTGTCATCTTATAATTAATTGACTCCTTTGTTTTCTTTTTGTTGTAGTCGGAAAAATTCCATCGTTCTGCGCACCCAGCTTTCTGTACGAGTGCACACCATAATAGGTGAGTATTTTCATTTGTAATGAGCATTCAATTTATACTTTTTTACCTTTTACGATTATTTTCAAAACATGGAGAAAAGGAATGAGTGGATTATCGTAGAGTGAATATCGAAGAACTCATCCCATTGAAATGAAAAATTCTTCTGTCGAGATAAAACTTTGATTAAAATTGAAGCACTCAACGGTGGGGAATCGATCCAGAAATTTCCTCAAATTAGTGGGAAAACTAGTTGAAATGTACTTTTTCTTTATTGAAAATATATATTATATTTATCAGTTGGATTGAAAAATAATCATGAATGTCTTTAACGGTGGTATTAAATTTCTTGGTATAATGGAACAAACGAGAAAACGTTTGTTCGAGCATCCTCGATTACAGCAGTTCACGCGAGTTTAAATTTTTCTTCTATCTCACTTTGGTTGTACCTTAGAAATGGGCCTCCTCAGTCGGTTGTACCGTCTAAAAGGGATAGAGAGAAAACCAAGGGGGGGAGATTGCTCGATTAAGCAGTTGCGGCATGAGGATCACTCGAGCGTAACGGTACGTGTGCACGACGCGCCGGGATTGGTTCAGATAAACCGCTCTCGGTATTTTCCACAAACACCTTGCCATCACCTCGAGCTTAACTATCTCAAGGTCAAAATGTAATCGAAATTTCTTTTACTGCCCTTGAATGTGTGAAATTTTATGTTTATTTCGTTCTGCATGAAGGGAATGATGGTCTCTCTGTCAATGTAGCCATTAATTCTAATGGAATCATAAAAGTTTGTATCATTTGATCCACCGATGAACATGAAACTCCCATCTGCAATAATACATCCCTCTTCATTTTTTATTTTTACATCATGACACACATTCTCCATTTCTCGGTGGGAAGAATGAGGGAAGTACAAGCTCAAAAAGATCCCCAAGACACATTCTACTACTCCGGTATTTAATTCCCTCACAATGGGAGGTTAACCACTACGAAATAAGAGAATGTCTCCCCGACTGCATTTGCCTCGCTAGATTTCCCCAGATGTTCATCCTAGATATTTCAGCCGGAAAATGGGGACGGATTTTTACATTTTCCATGGTGAAAATTATTCTTGTTCGTTGCAAATTCGATTCACCTGTTTGAAACACGTTCAATGAACTTGAGTGAAAAAAAAAAGAAGAGAAGAGGAGGGAAGGGGAGGATGGAGGAAGAAGAAGCTGGAAAAAAAAGAGAAATGTAAGGGCCGAAAAGGGGAAGATGCATTTTACATATTTTAACGGTTCCCTGGTCGACCCATTTCGTCTCCTGCTATGGCACACAATGTAGCGAGAGAAGAAATTCAACAGATGAAGGGGTAATACATTCCCTGAGTAATATGTCATCTGAGAAAATTTGAAAATATTAATTTCACGAAAAAAAAATGACAGAAAAACTCCAAATAGATGATTGTATTTTTCGCTATTTTCCTCACTGTGTCTCGTAGTTGGGGAATTTCCATGACAATTCGTTTCATTGTCACTGAATCCCAACGAATTTTCCTCGTAATTTCAACGTCCTCAATGTCCTCGGTAGCCCTCGCACCCGCTCACTGTTTAATTAATGTAAATATTCCAGGTACGTGACACTAGCGCGTCGATCATGAGAACCGAATTAACGCCGTCCTGTGTGTCCTCCGCAAGACTTTACACTGCTGTGTATGCTTGAAAAATTACGGTATTAAGGACCGATGGCCAGTGTAAATCCTCTGAATAATCGGAAAGTTTCGCTCTGACCAGACATTCTTGATGTTGACCTTTACACAAATTTTCAGCAAATTGTACTTCCCATAAATTCATCACAAAAAAATTCAATTCTCCCGAGCAAATTGGAATCAATTACTCCAGGCTAATGACGTGTCAGCTAGTTTGGATAATTACCTATATTTTGGTGAGTAGGTGGGCTTCAAAGCCCCTCTCATTCTTAGAAGCTCGCTCCCCCTTCCTCATTTTTTCTGGCCCCTGCAGCGTCTTCCTAATTACCTTTCGTTGCTGCCCTCCAACATACGCATATTCTGCCTCTACGGTCACTCTGAGATATGCAACCCACCACTCCGGGAATGTATTAACATTCAGAGATTGCGTGATAGTATCCGATTATGCAGGTACCTACTGTGTGTCTCCATTACATTATTTTCTCCGTTTAATTTCAACTCAGCCCTTTTACAAATCACTCTTTCAAAAGCTCGCAAGTCCCCAAATTTGCATTTGATAGATTCTCTCTGGGGCTTATCGTGAGACAATACTTGAGCACTTTCTAATTTCGAGAAATTTAGAGACCTCCATGCCTCCATTTCCTACCGCGGTCCTCCTTCAATTTACGTTAGTTGTAAAATGCCAATTACCTCATCTCTGAATTCATGGTCATGTGTTTCTGACATTTACGAATGAGTGAAAGCCACTGGACTTGCAATATTTCTCATTCTAATGAATTCACTGTGGTTTCGGTAGTTTTATCGTCATCGAGAATTGAAGTTGAAATGACTGGACGAATCAGTGGGCATTTGTGCTGATGAATTGATGAGCAAAATCAATGTAAAAAACACTGGGCATTTCCAACTCCAACTCGGAAATTATCCGATAAAAAGTATTAATATTCTCGTCATCCGCTTCCCTCTCCGTTCTCCGTGCCACTTGACAACTTTAAATTAATTAATTAGTCCCCTCTTAACTGATTAATGAATCCCAATTTGCTGAAAATCATATGGCCGTAAATCATATATTCTTTTTTCGTCTGAAAAAAAGGCTCGTCTGGTACTAACAAGGGTGGTTCAGTGGATAATTACGCTGAAAAATCTTCAAGTGTTTGCATTCGAGAAGCCATCGTCGTGTGCAACGTGGTTTTGAAGTTTCTAACGAGTAATAGTAAAAAAAAAAGGCAGAAAATAGGGAATATCTAGTAGTGCGCATTCGCACTCGGAGCGAATGAGAGGGGAGATCGAGAGAGGTAAATAAAAAAAAGTCGATCCTCAGCCAGCCGCGGCAAAAAATGAGTGAAAAAATCAGCATAAAACTCTATTATCGGTAATACCTGACCGCACTGTTTGTTTTTTTGTCTTGTTAAAAAATTCTGATGCATAGAACAGGTCGACAAAAAAACTGGGCTTGTTTTGTCATCATAGACTTTATGCTGATGAGATTCCTGAAAAAATGGACGATGAAAATGGGTGAAATTCGTACGTGACCAGAAGTAGGGAGTAAGCATCAGGAAAATTCATCTCAGATCTAATTAATTTCGAATTTAACACAATATTCCCCTGGCTGAGGAATTGTTTTTGAAAGACATAAAGTTATTTGAATCGAGGAAAGTTCATTGCATTATGAAGTTTTCGTCCATTATTTGGAAATTATATTTAGGTGGGGAAACGAATGAGCCACAAAGGCCAGCTGTTTCAATATTTACTCCGATTTGAAACTCCAATTTATAATGCAAAGTTAATTAGCCTGCTTTACCAACTAATTTCTAATCTTCTGACGGTAAAATGAAATTTTATAATTCGATTGAATTGAAGTTTGATTGTTGCTGGGTGTCTCTGACATATCCATTCCACCATTTTTCCAATTTCCTTTAACTATAATCATAACTGCACTTGACATGAATTTTTTCCACTTCTAATAAATTCCACATCAGTTCCCTATCAGAGAGAATCACCCCCTGTACCGTAGCCGAGTTAAACTCTCACGATTCTAAAATTAGCTCCAATCTCGATAGTAAAAGAATTTGCCGTGAGGCGAGAGAAGACTGAGATGAGGAGTAAGTGAGTGGTGTATATATATGCAGAATCTTAATCCGGTCCCGGTAATTTATATCAAATTAACCGTAGACAGGGCAGTCTAACGCTTTTCCTTTTCATGAAATTAACATCAGACAAAGTAAAGTCCAACGAAAGTGAAATTATTCTTTAGGTGAAATATAGAAGAGGGTGGGGCAAAATATGAATGTATGAAAAAATAGCCGAAGGAAAAAATAGCCGATGTGTAGTAACACGCGTCGTGTGTGGTAAACGACAAAATGACCGTTCATTTTCGGTCATTTTTTCCGCCTACCCCGAAAATGACCGATCATTTTGTCGCCTACTGCGCACAACACGTGTTACACCCATCGGCTATTTTTTCCGCATACCGTAAAATATGGACCCTTTTCATTTTTCTTTCACAAATATACTATTGCTAATATAAATTTGAAAAATGCGATTCGTTAACTCATGAGAGAATAAATTACATGTCCAACCCCATCTGCACCAAAAAATAAGTGAAATATATTTCCAAGCCCCCTATTTTTCATGTCTGCAGGCGAATTGTTGTTGCCGTTGGAGAATTATATGGGCCGTTAGTCTAAAGACGTCTAATATAAAGTTATATTATGTCGTGTCACAACGCACTGTAAGCTCGTTCACGTAATAGGGAGTGCCCATACCCCACGCAACAGCTAGTGATAAAAAAAATTAATAGAAAAAAAGGGAAAACAAGACATAACAGGGTGGAAGGAAAGTGTGCACTCCCATGTGACTAAGTTCCCTCTTGCCTCATCCAGCATCAACAATAAAACAGACTTTTATTATTTTTACCTTCTTCCACCCATCTCTATCTCCCTGATTGTGGCGCGTATTATTATAATAAATGGTTGCGTGTTGCTTGTCTGTTGCAGAAAAATTGCTGAACAGCGAGGGCCGAGAGCTGCGACGGGCACTCTTCTCCCTCAAGCAGATCTTTCAGGTGAGTTTTTCACTGGTGGTTATTTTTAAAATTCAACTCGTTTCTTTTTCCTACTTCTCCATTCCTCCACTTGGTCTCTACCTTTCTCTCTTTACATCCTCATCCTGCGTTTGCTCCTCCATGGCTTGCCCTGAGTAAATATTTGCGAGAGACGGCAGCCGTTCTGTCGCTTTCTTTTCGGCATCTTCTCTCACATATAACGTCATAAGTTTGTTTTTATTCATTCTCATTTTGTCCTCTTTCTACTTTTCACGTGGGCTAATTATAATTCCTGTCGCATCCGTAGAGTTCACATTGGTCAGGAGAAATGGGCGAGGGGAATGAACATCATGTGACGGTTTACAGCATTCTTATAAATATGAAACGTGTTCAAATTCATTTAGAGCTTTAGCATATTAAAAATTACGAGGGTAAAGCATACAAATATCGATAGACATTGAATATGCAATTTTATATTCATGAAGCAAATGCTTTTATTCAGGTTGAATTATTACAATGTTTTAATACCTGGATTTCCAGGAGTAAAGTAGCACATCAAACATTCATGGAAATCAACTAATTATTTGTATAAGCACGGAAAAGTTATCTCAATGCATTGATTTAATCCTCGATAGCATTAACTAATTAGAAAATTGATGATTATTAAAACAGCTCATCGTATTTTATTTAATAAAAATACTATTAATATTTTATCCATGGGAATAAATTCATGCAATTCATTGTGTGAACATTCTCCCTACAGAATTTGATCAAACCGTGATAACCCGATTCGCCGTAATTTCACATAATGCAATATAAATCCCAGTGTTAACATTTAATCTTCCGCCTTAATCCACGGTTTAATCAAGTTTTCACGGATTCGACACATCACTCTGTCCATCGTCTCTCATTTCTCCGCTTCCTCCTCTAGTTTGAAAATTCCCGGTGGGGTTTCGATAACGAAGGAAGTGTATAAGCAATAAAGATGAGGAGACGAGAGGGATGGCTGACGAGTGCGAATTCGTTGGGATAAAATCGATGAAATGGAATCAACAGAGCGATGGAGAAAGAGGTGTCCTAGGTAAATGAGGAATGAAGAGGGGATGAAGAACAGGAGTTGGCCATTGGAAATGCTTGTAGAGAAGGCTCTTCGGTCATGGATGAAACAGAGATAGAGTCAGGAGTTTAATCAAACTTGGTGGATTTTCCATTATGTCCTGTTACTTTCCGTCTCCACGATATAACTAATTCCCATTCGTTTCTGCTATCCTCTAAAGGGATGAGAGGGGTGGGATTAGACACTCGGAAACGGACAGACAAATTGAATGGCCGGACTTAAACTTTCCCTCATGCAACTAGCCATTCCGAACACTCCTTCCACTTTTCATCCGACATTTTCATCCCTCAAATTAATACAGTGTCATGAAAAGAGGCTCTACATTAAAAATTTTTAAGAGACATTCCCCCTCTTAATTCATTCTTGAAATATATCACTTGTCATATAAATGTCAACCCTATTATTCTTGAAATTAGAATTTTTCACCATTTACATTTCATACTTCATCCACCATCTTTTGCTTCATTATCTTCGGATGTTCCTTTTATTTTCCGTCTTTTTAATAATAAAAAATGTCGGATGGTTGAGGAGATACATGTATACGTACTATTGCAGGAGGACAAGGATCTGGTTCATGAGTTTGTGCAGAATGACGGACTGGCATGTCTCATCAAGGTCGGCAACGAGGCGGACCAGAATTATCAGAATTATATACTGAGAGGTGAGTACTTATGTTGTCGTGTAATTTAGATAGACGATGATAAAAGGGAGAAGGAAACATTAAACAATACTTATTGAATAGGCTTTTCATCCATCAGGGTGTATCAATTTTCTCAATGGTACGATCATTTACTGAATATTCAATTCATCAAAATGATTGATAATTGAAGCTCGAATAATATTTTCCAGTGGACTTGATTGTTTCAATTGAAATTGAATAATTTATTCATTCTAATCAATCTCCATTGTATTTGAAAATTTACTGGTTACGCTCGGTCATATTGATGTCTCGTTAACATGCGGAAATCTTCGGTATCAACGATCATATACGATAATGATCCCAAACGGCTCAGTTTGGTTCAATTCCTCGTTATCGATGTCACATCACCTTGTTCTAATGAAGTCTCACGTGATTAAGTTTCCATCGATTCTGACTGCTGACAGTGACACATAGTACGTTCGCACTAAGCCCCACGAGCAGATAAGCTAAAACGTCTGATTTACTGATACGTAATGCATTAGCAAGCAATAATAATCAGAGCTTGGATTTTGATGCAATTAGACTTAATTATAAATACATCTGTAAAATAATTCCTAATCAAATAGTAAATTCAGACTGTGGCATGGCTATAATGGGATGAAATTTCACACAGAGCCATCGCCCAATTAAATGCCAAATTTGAGTGGATGATTGCAATATTAAAGAGGCCTTTAACCGTCAGAAATTACAATACGGATGACACAATCTCGAGTGGTTTTGATTTCAATTTGCCTACACTAGCTACAGTCCACGGGGATTAATTGGCTTTTACGTAATGACTGTGTGTATGATTGTGTAATGATAAACGCGCGGTTTAATGATTATACTGGTCAATGATTCGAAACGATAGAGCATAGTAATTGAACATCTATTTCAAATCAAATTAGTCGAGTGAATGCACTCAATAGAAAAACCACTCACAATCAGTGCAACTCAATGAACTTTAGATTTGAATTTTTCCGCGGTACATTAACCCTTTTCTCATGAAATACATTTATCAAGAAGAATCCATTTTTCTCGCAGCATACTGAAGTAATAATTCTCATTATCCCCTTTCTGGCTCAACAATACCACCTTTCTGGCCGATTAATTCCTACGGATTAGTCCGTTTCTTTTGTTCACAATAACTTCTCCCCCCCTCATCCCCTTCAAGTTATTGTGATGAAAACTGTAGTAATGGCTGCGCATCACGGAAATGCGCGTCTTCACTTTCTTTTATCATTTCGAGTCTGAGGGAACAAATTATGATAATGAAAAAAAAACATGTTTTTTTTCGAGGGAGAGTATCATTATCGAGAGAATGGGGGATAAAAAATGGTGAGCGAGTTTTATTATGAATAGATTTGCTTAATTACTCTTTATGATTCATATGCGTTATAATAATCACATCGAGATGGAAAATGATTGAATATCAAATTCCAGTCGATTAAAAAGTGATTTCGTACAGTGGTCTTTGTCCCTAGTAACAATTCGGCGCTCTTATTCTTCCCCTCCAGAGAGACGAATTCAAATGGAATCATCGAAATTATCCCATTGTTTCCAACAAAAACTAATTGAAACAATGAAGTGATGAAAGAAATGCATAATAGAGTAGAAGAAAGTGGGCAATCAGTTTGTTACACTTTTTTTCATTAAAAAAATTCATGAGAATATGAGAAATGAAGCATTGGCTTCAGGCTTTTTCACCCTTCATAAATCTCAACTGTTGGTTATATGTGAATGCTTGAAACAGATGAGAAAGCAAAAGGCAAACGAATGAAAACGACGAAAGAAAAAACATTGGAAAAAAGGAATAAAGAATTTTTTATGTACTGTATGGGAAGAAGCAAGTGAGTTGGAGATACGTGTTAAAGGGGTTGAATTAAAGTGAGACGGATAACAAATGGCTCGGAACTTGTATACGTTTCGTAGTTTAATTAAAGTTACTTCGTCCAGTAGAACGGTGTGCAATTTAGGAGTGGAAAAAAAAATTCAAATGGGAAAATGGAATAAAAATAAAAACGAGGCTGAATAAAAAAGTGGGAAGGTGGAAAAAAAATTGAAGAGGAATCTAGGGGCTACCTACCTCCCCTCCCCCGACAATTCCAACCTATTCTGCGTTTATTAAGTCGTGAAAATAGTTCTCCTCTTCTTCAGTTGCGATAAAAGATGACTCGACCAATGCAGTCATGATAATTTAACCGATAACGGCTCTTGTTACTCATCAACTCCCGAAAAATGAAAGAGAAATGGAGAGAAACGATAGAGACAGAGGGAGATTTTATACATTGGCTCCGCGTGACCCTCTTCAATGCTCGATGGCGTGTGAAATGATCTGAAATTTCGAGGAGTTTCTTCCACTACTCGTGCGAGGATCCCCTTCGAATTCACTTGAACTTTATAATCGACTTAACTTATTCCACTTAGTTCACTGCTTCCTTTGCCCATCCGTTTGCTCACTGGTTATCAATTAACCCCAAGTCTGAGGAAAAAAAACGGTTGACTGATACGTTGATGGTCTAATCAATAGAGACTCAACGAGTAGTGGAGTGGCGATTCCTTCAGTTTCATTTCTGACAGTTCAAATCCTCGGGATAAATCCAGCAAAAAAAACGGTCAAATGGAAAAGAGCGAAGTGGTAAAAAATAGAGAAATAAGGACTATCGACGGGGGTTTAATGCTTGCTCAGCAGGAGAATGGTGTATTTCACGAAGGGAAGTAGATGAAAAATGAAAGACGAGATCTTTACAGGTAATCGTTGAACGAAATTCATCCGTTCGCATGAGCAATCGTTCGTTTGCATTGCAAAAAACTCTCTCATCATTTTGTGTTCAATTAAAAAATTCTAACTAGTGAATACTTAATTTCTCCTCATTGCGAACTTTCATCGTCGACCAAAAAAGGCACTTTCTTGCTTTAATTAAAACTTCTCCGGGGTAAAGCATAATTTTCTGCTCCGTTTTATCCCAATGCAAACAAAATACTGAATCATGAGACTAACTATCGGTAAATTCATGGCAACAATGGGGAAAATCCAAGGGGTTGAAATCACTCTCCAAAACTCGGAAGGGAAAAACGAAACCATCTCCAGTAGGGCTTGAATTGGGAGATAGAGAAGGTTCGAATTTATGCCCTAAACTCTTGTTAGCCCAGCTCGTTGGATGCAGCTTGTGAAACGGGTCCACAGTGGGTGAAACTTTACGAGGCACTCGAAAACGCCTCGCAAACACGGGCTTTTTGCCTGAGCTTTATCGTTTCACCGTAATTCCCGGTGTGGCCACCCCGTGGGGTACCTTCTCTCTCTCTCAGTTACTCTCAGTACCATCGAGCGTTTATCCCGGGTTTAGCGAATGTTGTTATCAAACGATAAATACTATGTTGATGAAGTTTCGTTTCAGAACCTCTATCATAATTTATCTCTGTATAGTGGAAAGCAATTTGTTATGTTTATTATGTTGGGTTGTACATAAAGATGAACTTACTATCATAAATATATTATGATGCTACTCATTTCAGCAAAAGTCGACTTTTAATTCCTCAATAAAAAGAGATAATAATTAAGTGACTACTACACTGAGAGAAAAATTTAAAGTTCGATTTACAATAAGAAAATAGTTGAGGCATTTTAGTGAACGATACGATTTTTTTTTGTATGCGGCACATAACATTATAGTAACTTCACAAGCGCAATTTTTGAAAATCAAAATGCAGTTAAACTAACCAAAGTTCAAAAGTAACCATGACAAATCTATCGTGAGGAGAACTATAAAATAGTTGCAATGACTACATTCCATTGTAGTAATTACTTCTCCGGCCATAGTTACCGTAACTCATGAAAAATTGTTGAGGACTTTTTGACTATAATTCGACGGTGATGGAATATAGTCAGAAGAATTATATTTTTTTCTCAGTGAACACACATTAGAATTGAATTGAAACGATGTAAAGTTCCTCTCACGAACTCATTTGAAAATCGTTAAAAACAACGATTGTGCCCGGTGGCTTGGCGCAGTGGGTAAGTTCGTTGCCTCACAGACGAAAGGTTCCGAGTTCAAATCCCGGCCGGGTAGAATGGTGCGATCTAACCATTCAAAGTCTTGATCATCATCGCAGTATACCCTAACCGGGCCAAAGCGATGTAAAATAACGATAAAAAAAATACGATTGTAAACTCTAGGCGAGTGAACATTGTAAAAAAAAGGAGAAAGGAAAAAAAAGAATAATTGATTTTTTCCCCTCTAGCTCTCGGCCAGGTGATGCTCTATGTAGACGGTATGAATGGTGTTATGGAGCACGGCCAGACAGTTCAATGGCTCTACACCCTCATTGCCAGTCGGTTTCGGCTCGTCGTCAAGACCGCCCTCAAGCTCCTACTTGTCTTTGTTGAGTACGTTGAGACTAACAGCCTTCTCCTAGTACGTGCTGTACGGTCAGTTGACACCTCACGTGGTATGATACCATGGACTAATGTGATGAAGCTCCTCAAGGATTACGATGCAGCTGACACTGAATTACTCATTTATGCAACAACACTTGTCAACAAGTGTCTCAACGGTATACCTGATCAAGACACTTATTATGATCAAGTTGATTGTCTTGAGGAGCAGGGAATTGAGGGAATTATTCAGCGGTACATGTCAAAGCAAGGGACCGATCTGGATTTACTCAGGCAATTTCAAATTTACGAGGCTGTTTTGCATCACGAGGACGGCAATGATAGGGGCTCACCTATTCGACAGCTTGACGACAACATCAGGTATTTGGTTATGTCATGAATTATTGAATATTCATTTGTTAGTACAAATAGGCCATTGTATTGAAGAATTTCTGGTGCATTGAATGCGTCAATTTTACTCCAATTCATGATTTTAATGTAACTAAAGCAATTGTGCTCATTCAATTTTGCGAGAATCGTTTTATCATTTACATTAAATAATTTCAACTGTATAATTGAATTTGAATATACCATATCGATTTGTCATTAATAATGAAATTCCAAAATCAAGGAATAATTCACAATTTAACGATACATTTTATCATTTTCTAGCCGTAAATATTCAATCCCAGAATCTCCAAGCCATTCCATATTTTACATTCCAGGAAGACTCTGAGGAATAGAAAATCCCTCGTAGATTCCCAAGAGCGTCGAAAATCTCGTAGACATTCAACGGGCACATCGCCACTATCCATGTCCTTAAATGCCCGGCTGAGTCCACGTCTAAATCATTCTCTCGGTTTGAATTCACTGAATGGTACACTCAATTCAAGTTTACTCGACGACGACGACGAGTCCAGTAGTTCACAAAGCTCACAGGGCCTTGGTGATGTTCAATTAAATGGAAGCTACAAGGAGAACAAAGGTGGATATCCGAGTGAGTTGTGACATTTCTTTTAATTAATCTTAAATGAAAAGAAATAATTCATTAGTGATTCAGTTGTAAATCGGTATAAATCGTACCCTGGGTAAATTTCTCATTAGCAATGCGAATGAAAATGATGTCGATCTGCCCCCCGCAGCACGTGATCACTTTAGAGCCTTGAGTAAATTTGAATTGTGCATACGAGCAGTTCAATTTCAGACTATTGCAAGAGGTCTGAAACGCCTTTGACTTGTGGTGGTTAGCTTTTGGGAAGAGGGATTGAAGGGGAAGGGAGAAGAGGAGAGGCCGTTTGCTTTTGCCATTAATTCAGTTAATCAATTTAGACGATGTCGGAGTGACTCCGGCATTGAGACGGAGAAGGGAGAGGGCTGAACGTCAACGTAGCTTTATCAGAGAGCAGCAAGAAGCCACTGCAAACATGAGGGCCACCATTGGTAATACAGAGGATCAAGAAGGTACATGACATGTCTCCTTATTTATCTTCTTCACTTTCTTCTAGTGCCAATTGTTCCCAATTGTTTCTTACCATTTTGTCAATTCTTTGTTATCGAAGGACCATTCGTTTCAAATGGCTCACGCTACACCAATGGCACAACATACGAGCGTAACGATTCAACTTGCAACAAGATATCAAGGGCCAATAGCCGCAAGGATCTCACGCCACTGATGAACGTTGCTAACAAGCTTGATTCGGAGGAAAAGAAACCGTGGTATGGCAAGAGTCCGGATGAGGGGGTGGAGTGTGACGAGGGCAATCATACGGATGAGGATGAGGATCGGAGGGTACTTGTGCAGATGAAACGGGATGGTACTGTTAAGGATTTAACCCAGAAATTGACGGCCCAGAATCTCATACCCAGTAGTCCTGTTGAAGAGAAAGTATCGAGGTAATTAATTAATAAATTAATCGTCACCTTGTCATCATTTTCCTCGTGATTGATAATTTATTTGAGTTGTTAATTGTGATGATTTCAGGATAGGGGACATGAGTGGTTTGATATCAAAAGCTAAAGAGGGTTTAGCAAAATCAAAATCAAAAGCAGACATAGTCAAATCACCGACGGGTGATGGCATACCAAAATTACCAGAAATCAAGAAATCGGAGAATGAGCTTCACTGGGAAGAGCTCGTGAATCAACTGAAGCGTCCATTGGCACTTTGTGATCTTGATTTCACTGATCTCAATTCAGACGATGAAATTGACGTACTGGGGCCCGTTAACGTGACTAATGGAGTTCCACCTCCACCACCCCCAATGATATCAAACCAGAATGGAACAAAAGCACCACCACCACCACCACCTGGTGGACGATTTCCACCTCCTTTTCCCAACGGTCCACCGCCACTTTTTGGTGTCAATCTAAAATCCTCAAGATCATGTCCAATTACGGAATCTCCTGGGACTATAAAAACTCCACCACCGCAGACTATTTCAAAGAAGAGTAAAAAAACTGTTAAACTCTTTTGGAAGGAAGTCAGGGACGATCCCATCATTCTCTCGCGTCTCGACAAAAACAAGATGATCTGGGATGAGCTACAACCGGTGCCTGTTGATACCCAAAAACTGGAGCATCTCTTTGAGAGTCGAGCCAAGGATCTCATCACCAAGGTGAGCTTTATCATATATTCTGTCATCAATTTGCTTTCCGTGTCTTTATTAATTTTTTCTTTACGATAAATTGAATTGTTTTCGATTCACAAACTAAAAATCCGCATCGATAACTCCTTGATGATGAAAATATTCAATTATCGAATGAGTGAAGGGGAATTCGATGGTTGTTCCGTGGAATTAGGATGCCTAGGCTTTACAGGTTAAAGGGGATAATCTTGGTTAAACTTTCAACTCCAACTTACCTTCCATCCCCAATTCCATCACTGTGTCTGTTGTACTTGGAACGTACCAATCTCGAATACTCATAGACACTCTAAAACCATTTTCACGTTCATCCATCCCTCAATATTCCTCGGTGTATCTTTGTTGACAGTGTACACGGAAGAAACTCTCTGAACTCCCCATTGCATCACTTGTGTTCATTAAATTTTTGAAATTAATGTGTCATCAGACAAAGCAAAGTTTATGACAACATTTTAATGGAAATCTCTCTTTTATGATGCAAAAACTGTGACGAACGTAATTCAATCCAAAAATTCAATGTCACAATAATAATGGCCATTTCCTTCTCCTTCTATTCATCAAGAAAATCCACTCAACTTGAAATCGCGGAAAAGTGAATAAGTAACTGAATTAAAATGAAAATGAAAAAAATCTTAGAATTAGCAGTGCAAATTCGTTGGATTAAAATACTTGAAGAAAAGGAAAAATTAATAACGAGGGGAAAAACCTCTTCATGTGAAAACAGTATTTCCTCTTGAACCTTTTTTTCCTCCTCTTCAAACCATTATTATCACCTTGCTTTCATTTTATAAAATAATATTAAAATAAAAATAATGTTGACGCTCGTTACGCTGCTCTCTCGTATATAACTTCACCAACGAACCAGTTGATTTTTTATTCTTTTCATGAATGCTTTTTTTTATTATGTTATTTTATGTCTCACATAGTTTTCACTTTTCCGCTAACAACCCTTATTTATGCCACTTACTTTCATTCCTCTCCCCTTTATTCCCCTTTTCTCATTGTAATTCAATGGAATCGCCAACTATAAGGGGTTATGGTGTGGGTCGGGTCAGACGCCTATTATTGAATGTTTTATGAAGTCTATATTAATTGATTTGATGAAGTTTTTATCGTAGTACTCGACGGAACTTCATAATTGCCAATAAACTCTTTCCCTCATTATCAACTTTTCCCTTTATTTTCTTGCTTCTTCACTTTTATTTATTACTCATCTCTAATGAATGAAATTATGAAGTTTTCGATATTCGAAATTAAATTTATGAAGTGTCTTCATCGTTCCTAGCCAACTTTTCTCTCAAACTGATAAACGGGATCATTTTAATTTAATAAAGGTTGGAATTAAAGGACAAAGGATCTTTACAGTTGAAGCAGAATTTTAAAAAATGTGATACATATTCCATTATAAAACTCCTCTGAATGTGCACCGTATTGTGAGAATTCTGGTTTGTTTTCACGTTTTTCCCAATTAAATTTCGCATTTCTACATTGGGCTTTTTTTTCCTTTCCATATCAAGTGTTTTTGGTGCAATTAAAAGTGCTCAATAATGCCGACTACGTTAACGAACCTATTAATTAGTCAAATGCCAATCCGAGCCAAAGTGATTGGTACGAGCGTGAACCCACTTTTGAATCAATTCCGTGAAAATCTTTTGATGAAAAAAAACCATTCACTGCAATTTATTCATTTCCACTTTTTTCCCGTGAAAAATTCACCTCTGTCGGGGGGGTATAGCGAAATCGTTGAGCACCGAGTCAAATCCGAGGTTAATGTATTTTTAACGAATTTACAGTCAACGAATGGTAATTGCGGCGCGTGCAACTGCTCCTAGGAAAGCCAGGGGAAAGCCGAGTAGGCAAACAAAACTTTTTTATTTCACCGTCTACCACCTTTTGGTGTTTTCATTACGTAGGAATTTTTTTCCATGCTCTTTCTTTCATTTTTCTTTTATGAATTTTTTTTTGGTCAGTTTAATCCTGACTGCCGCGACGCCAGAGACTCAAAATCCCACTGTGAAATCTTTTTTTTATGGGAAAAAAACGCTTTTTCTTCGTTAGGGGTGACGCTTGTACTCAATTCCTGTGCTAATTACTCCGGGATTTCCATGTTTACGGAGAACTCGAGGGATGGTCGAAATTTTTCAGTTAATTCTCTTTAGCGCGGAGACATTTCCCCCTCGGGTTTTAGTTTAGAATACAAAGATGACAAAAGAATGATTTTTTTTCTAATTAATGCAAACTGGAGTATTAATAGAGAGTAGATTGCTCCGTGTAAAATGATCTCTGATTAACATGCACTTGATAATACCGACAATTCGCCATGAACCATGACCAAGTGAGCCAATAATTTTTTCTCTGTCTTCAATTAAATCGCATAAATTGCAACACGAGAGTACACGTCACGATAAGTTTAAAAATGTAATGGCACACGAGGGGCTGTGAGTACGAAAAAAAAGGGGTTATAAAAGGCATTGAGGCACTTCCTAGGCACTTTTGCCAGTTCCGGTTGTGGAGTAGGAGGGCGCAATGAGGGGACAGATGAGATAGACTAATAGGGCGGAGTAACATGAAATTGCTTGCTCTTGGGTGAGACAAAGAGGGGAGGTTTCAAAGGGGGATGGGGATGGAGGTTCCTGCTTGTGCGATTTGTCATGGAAAGTTTACCACGAGATTTACGGAAGTAAGACAGGCAACGATCGACAGCGAGCTTGCAAACAAACTCCTCGTGGATGGTTTACATTCCTTCCCCAGGAAGATTACGTGGACTTTGGAAAAACAAATATCCACAAGGATGATGTGGGAAATTCACTCTGAAACCGGCAGTTTTCCATTTTCAATTTATTTCAATGAAGTGTATTTGGTGGAGGGATATTTGTTTAACTGCTTGGGAAGAAATTTCATCCTCAATTCGTGTCGGTGAATTTATGGGGGGGGCTTGGGATAAATTGTTGTTGACTACACGGAGAGAAAAGTTCTATAAAAATTACCTCAAAAATCGTGATAAATTTTACTATACGAATGGTGATCGTGGAGCGAAATGTAATTTAGTCGAAAAATACTGGTTTTTAGTGGATATCTTACAATTTTTCAGCTAAAAAAATACATCTATGGATGCAAAAATTATCCTCCTGTTTAGTAAAATTTCCCACTCCGGCAGGGGATTGTTTGTTTCGTACCCGTCTGAAGGTCATGGGGACGGATGGTAGTGAATTTTTACCAAACCGGTTCGGTAAAAATCATTCACCGTTCCAGAAAAATTATACGAAAAATTGGAGCGATTAGTCACTTTCAGTGGGACAATTTTCGATAGGATGCAGGGTAAATTTTACAATTTCAGTACAAATTACCCTCACGTTTAGTATATTTTCCCGGCCAACGAAGTAAATTTCACTACTAATCTCGTACTTTTTCTAGTATTTAAGGTGAAAAAGTAGGTAAAATCGAGGTTGCTCCACGATTACTTGACTTGTTTGGTACTTTTTCTTCAACTTTTTTCTCAGTGTACTTTTATACCCCAGGATGAATGAATAAATCTTATAAAATAGACTCCAATGCACTGTCAACAACCCCTAAAAGCCCAATCCTTTATCCCAAGAAATGAAAATAATTGTCAAGTATTCCTCTATGTGAAGGTGGTGGTTATTAATCACATAAATGATACAAAAAATAAGCTAATCTGTTTCTTGTATTCTTTGCAATATTGTTGGTGCTCGCACGATACAAAAAATGGCATGATATCCTGGTTTTCTGCAGGAGGTGAGTCTTAATTTCTTAACTTGTCTTTTTTTTACTATAGAAAAACCTAAACAAAATCATTCTTCAGTGTTGTGAGAATGAATAGTTGCTGCTTGTCATTCTAATCATTACTTTTCTATCACACTCACTGTCTTCCAACTCATCCCATTATCCTAACGTTGAGCTGCTTGTTACCTCCTGCCTAGAGCTTTTATCTCGAAAACACTTGAAGCGAAAATAATTCACATTGATCTCTCTATCTCGACAAAAAGGAAAAATCACTGGAGTAATTGATTTCATCTTTGAAATCACGAGAACATGATGAACGTGATAATTGAACGGGGAAAAAATTGACACCGAGCGTTAATTAATCATCACTAATACCAAATAATGAATTTAACCATGTTCATTGAATGAAAAAAAAATCGAAGGGGAGAGACAATGAAATTCAATAAAAAAATTAATACGCGCCGATAACTTGAACAAGCCGCCGCTAACGAGCCTGCACGTGATCGAGTGAAGCAATTAATTCGATCCACCGCCCTCCCCCATATTCATTAATTGCCAACTGGATTGATAGTCAAGTTGAACACAAATATTCTGCACACACTTTATCTATTAGATGATGCGAATAATCGTCTTTCTGTTTTCTTTGAAAAAAAAACATAACAGAAACAACAGGAGATGAACAAAAACAAGGAGATAATTGTTCTGGATCACAAGAGATCGAATGCCATTAATATCGGTATGACTAAGTTACCACCGCCCAGATCCATCAAGACTGCTATTCTCAAGATGGATGCTACTATTATGAATCGAGAAGGGATTGAGGTAAGTTTAAAATCTCTTATATGTTGAGTATGCACCTTGTATTATTGATTTTTTCACTCTTATTTTTTGGGGAATGTCTTGGGGATAAGAATCGGGGTAGAATTGAAAATGTTGGCATTGGAAAGCCAGGGGAATTTCCTATCTGGGATAGTACATAAAGAAATCTCTTTTGCTCCATGGATATCTCCTAGAAATGTTGGAGCTCACGTGGCATTGGAGAGCTAGTACATTCAAACGGAATTATAATGACAAGTGTTTGAGGAAATTTTTCACTCTATTCCCCTTGTTTGCGTTATTTTTTTTTAGAAACTTTTAACGATGCTACCAACAGAGGAAGAACGATCGAGGATCCAAGAGGCGCAGGCCGCCAGTCCCGATCTTCCACTTGGTTCAGCTGAGCAGTTTCTCCTCACTCTCGCTTCCATATCCGAACTGCCAGCGAGATTGAAGCTCTGGGCGTTCAAACTAGACTTCGAGAACTCGGAGAAGGTGAGTAAAGAGGGGATACACGATGGAGTTGCAAGAGAAATAGCTCTCGCTCAAGGAAAGTAATAGTCAAATCAGCCGGGAGGGTATACATAAAGTTGAATTGGCAACAGTTGAGGATGAATTTTCGGTGGGGAATATTGGGTGGTGAGGAAAAAGTCTAAAACGAGTGGAGGAGAAAAAAAATATATTAACCCGAAGCGATTTAATATTTTTTTTTCTCGTGAACACAGGAAATTGCGGACCCTTTGATGGATCTCAAGCAAGGAATGGAAACTCTGAGAGTGAATAAAACGTTTCGGGGTATTCTGAGCACGCTCCTATCAATCGGGATATTCCTAAACGGAAATGAGGTGAGACCATTCAATGCTAGTGAAAATGATATCCGTTTTAATCCATTCGATACTTTATATGTAGGTCAAACTCCAGTTGTCGAGTAAAATTTTAACTTTAAAAAATCTGATATTACAATTTACCTCACGGAGCTCTCTCCTCAGAACGCTCTCTCTCTCGTGAAAAATAATATTGAAAAAAAAATCCATTCAATTCACGGCTCATTTACCATTTTTTTCCGACTACTTTCACAGGTAAAGGGCTTTCAACTCGAATACCTAGCCAAAGTACCTGAAGTCAAGGACACTGTGCATAAGCACTCACTCCTCCATCATCTCTGTCACATGGTGATGGAGAAGTTTCCAGACTCAACAGACCTCTATTCCGAGGTGAGTGCTTCATAAAAAGAGAATCAAGTTTCGCTATAGCGAGAAAAACTTTTATTTTCTTCATTTCATTCATCCGTTATCCTGTTTTATTTTTTTCCCTCTCTCTCTTTCTCTTCTTTCGTTTATCCTCTGCAGATAGGGGCAGTAACTAGAGCATCAAAGATCGACTTTGACGAGTTAGCATCAAACATTTCCAAACTGGAGAGCGAATGCAAGGCATCCTGGGATCACTTGAAACTCATCGCCAAACATGATGGCTCAACTATGATGAAAGTCAAGTGAGTTTATATCAATAAATAAGTCTAATCAATTTTCAGCAATTTTTCATCTTTAATACTGACCCCTGGTCAGATACAATAAGAAATCGAATTTCTTATTTTATTTTAACATTTCTGTCGCTTCCACTCTGTCGATTATCATGTGGATTTTTTAAATTTTTTATCTCTTCAGTTTATTGTTTTTCTTTGAGAGCCAAAACTCCTGCAAATTGTCAGTGGTATGGGGAGGCTTTGGGTTACCGATAAATTCGTGTATTTTTTTTTCCTCTTTCAGAAGTTGGCCGACGTCCAAGCGACTTGCCATTAATTACTTGAAGCTCTTTTCCTATTTCTTTTCCCCTATTTTTCCTCTCGTCTTTACCCACAGATATTGGACTCTATTTTTTTACTTTCATTTCCCAATTCTTCTTTTTCCTATTCTCCTTTATTTTTTTTTTCTTTGTCTTTGTGATATTGATTTCTTCGTTTTCGCAAAGTGGCTAAAGAAGGAAGTGGTAAATGCTCGAGAATAGAAAGATTGCGTTGGGATATATTCATGGGTTTATCTCGGTAGAAGTGGGCAATTTCACTCCTCTAATGATTGAAAATATTTTCAATATAATTTTCAGAATGTCTGATTTTCTTGCTGATTGTGCGGAAAGAATAATAGTCCTCAGTATAGTACATCGACGTATCATCAATAGATTTCACAAGTTCATTCTCTGGCTGGGAATTCCCCTTCATCGTGTGCAGGACACAAAGCCAAATGAGTTTTGCAGAATAGTGTCGGAGTTTGCCCTAGAATACAGAACGACCCGGGAGCGTGTCATTCAGCAACTGGAGAAGAAAGCGAATCATCGGGAGAGGAATAAAACCAGAGGGAAAATGATAACTGAGGTGAGTCGGGTTTCATAATGTTGCCTTTTTTTTCACTTGTTTCTCTTGGTGCACAGTCGATTGCAGCCTTTTTCCCCTCCCTTTGGGAGCTTTGGGAGTAAGAAAGACTGGATATTCTTATCTCTTTTGGCTTTTCTCTTTGCCCAAGTACTTGAATTTCGTTTGTCTCCTTTAAAGGTGGGTAAATTCAGAACGAAAGAGGATCGTGCAGACGCTGAACTCAGACAGCTTTTGGGCAGTGATATTTCTGATGTTGAGAGTCTACATGGCACTCTACCATGGCGCAGGCAGAGAAAAGATGGTGAGTGTAGGATATTCTTATGCACCTTGTTTTGATGTTCTTTTTCGTCAAGTTCAAGAAAATTTTAACGTCAAAAGTGAAGTGAGGTAGAGGGAATAAGCCGATGAGCTGTGAAATATCTGGAAGTTGATTATCATCAAGTATTTTAATCAGTGCAGTGTCTGGTGAAACAGTGAGTGGATACGTCACGTGTTTCTCGTTACGTCCAATGTCCTTCCAACATCCCTCAGAGAATCGTTTTATCCACAAACACGTAACTAGAAATTGCCATTGCGGGGTTAACAGTGGACCATTGGCTTACGTGGCTCTCAACTCTTAGTTTCTCATTTTGTGACATTCTGGGCTGTCTCGTGAATTTTGTGTTCAACACAATTCTGCGGGAACGTTATAAACATGTAGGGAAACGCGACGTTCGGTAAATGCTGCGGTAGCTGTGAGAGTTCTCCGGTCGGAAATTTGTGGATATTTTGGACGGAACTGCGAGGAAATCTAAATAAGTAAGCGGGAATTTTCATCGAAAATTAAACATGTCAGTTGAGAAGTACTGAAAAAAATCCGATAATGTCGAGTATTGTTCAAAGTTTGCAATAGCTATTTTTAATTTAGCATGGAGAATATTTAAAGTGGTTAAATGTTGCGGATAATGACTGCACTCGGATAACTCACTATTCAGGCTCTCATGCCATTAAATTTACAAGGTAAATTGGTGGATGTTGTTCGGCTTCATAAACTTGTAACTTGTGAAGCACAACGTGATGAGAATATTTAGTAGCGTAAAATAATGAAGCGTCCGTCTGAATTTTTGAATATTAATCTGGGTGACGATAAAACAGAATAAATTCACAATTTTATTCTGTTAGGAAAACACATTATCAACCACCGAAAGACATAAAAATGCCATAAGAGATATAAAAATGTTTTATGACATAATAATGATTCATATAAATAAAATTTTCTCGGAAATCAATATTTAATAGCACACGATAATAGAGCGTTCATCTGAATTTTTAAACATTAATCTGTCTGACGATCAACTCCATTAAATCAAAATTTTTATCTTTGGGAGGAAAATATATTTTCAACCACAGAGATACGTAAAAAAGTCAGAAATATAAAAGTATTTTATGACAATTGAATCCCCGGGTGGAATTCATCGTAAAAGAGTTGAATTTGTCATTCAATTGAACTAAGTGGGGGAAACAAGATTGAGAAGAAAAATCGTTGTAACTCGGCATGAAACGAGTAGCATGAACCAGAGGGCAACAAAATAAAGGGAAACGAAGGAGGACGAGTTTTGGCGATACGCGTGAGCTTCAGTGGTTTACGTTTTCTTACCAGACACACTGGGGAGATGTATACAGAAAATAAAAGGACACAAGTTATTGCACGTTGGGATGCTACGATGGCTACATAACATGGGAAAAGTTTACGAGCACCAGTAGAGGGATTGGAGGTGGAAAAACCGAGGACGCAGAGATGGAAGGGGGGGGGAGGGAAGGGGGAGAGGTGGGAAAATTGAGACAGGGCTTTTCTCGGTTCACCAGAGTTTCCTCAATCCAGAGATAAAAATCCTTCCAACGGCCGGAAACGAGTCTCTCTTTTTTACAACTTAATACGTCTTGCCTACTACGAACAACTTTACAAACCCAGATGAGACAGGATACTCAAAACTTTGAATAACAGTAATAAATTTTCGTTTTCAAATATGTATTCAAGTTTCAAAAGAGTGTATTTTCTAGTGGAAACAATTGGTTTTCGATTATCCCAAAAAAAATTGTTGATTACTTCCTCTGATGATTCTCGTTTATTGCAAGAAAAATATCAAAAGTTCTCTGACAGTTTTGAGAGTTGAACGTGGAGTATTTCATCACCAGTGGAATAGCCATTTTTTATTTGCAGTTGTGGAAAACTCATTTACCAGTGGCGTTTGAAAAATAAACGAGATAGATATTTTAGCGGGAGATTTTTGTTCGCAAAAAAAAATTGTAATTACACCCCTCGAGATATTAGCCATTATTGAGGGGAAAAAATATTTTTATTTTCCAGGACGTACGGCGCTGGGTCCAATCCTGAGGGACGAGTCAACTAACGGCAACGTGACAGATGGTGATGACGAGTTGCTCGAGTCCCTGGTGAAAACTGCAACCAAGTCACCAGCAACGAGAACAACACCGAGGGAGAGAAAACGAACGAGACACGCCGATCGTAAGTCTTGTAAGTGCGATCCCCGCACCCTGCACGCGATTCTGTCCCACTAGCTCTCGTCTTACCTCGATTATTGTCACCATTTCATTGACAATATTTCCACATGAGGAGCGAGAGACTGACGATTAGTGGGACAGGGCGCAAACCGTTGTCCAAAAGAAAAGGAAAACAAATTATATCTTTTTGCACATTTTATCGCACCCTTTACTCTGTCTCAATTTCATTTTCTCTTTCATTTCAAGCCTAAGATTTATAGAGATTAATTCTGCAATTCGATTGAACATGTTGGAGAAGTAATTACTGATAGGCTAATGGCATATGCTTCATCGGACAGCCCAGTAAATTTCCGCTTCGAAACACAACAAAGGCGTCCATTTTGCGCCATTCCACTATGCGATAATTAACACGAAAAATCTGCACTGTGAAAAACTTCTTGCCGCGAATTATCGAAGCGAAATGGGTTTGTGAGTGGCGTTTTAAATCTAGAATTTACCGGGCAAATAGATCCAACAGAAAAAAAAACAATCCACCCTTCCTCCCTATCAAAACAGACTCTCTGCAAGAATAATTCTTCGAAATATTTCTCTTGAAAAGTAAAACCTCTCCCTCACAACCCTCCAGTAATTTTAATTAAGCTCTAGACTGAAGAGAGGAATTCCCAGGAAAAAAATAAAGTACTGCAATAAAATAAAATAAAACAAATGCAGAAATTTTTCTCCCTGATCGCAGTCGGAAACGGGCTCACCTTGGGGGCACTTCCGGTTTTATATCTCGAGAAATACCGCACAAAACTCCCTGAACGAAGTGAAACCCGAAGTGAAAAAAGAGTAAGAGTAAAAAGGAACTGAAGAAGATAGGGCGGAAGAGGAAAATATATGTTGGAGGTGGTAGCTTTAACTTTTTGATTCACTGACTGTCGTCACGCGAGGGTGCAAGGGACCATTCCTATTCCGTGTCGCTGTTACGGGACACCAGAAGGCTACGGGTAAGGGGTAGGGTAAATGGGGGAGGGGAGAGGAGGTAGTGAGACTAGATGTCTTGCAGTAGTTCTGGGTAGAGGTGGGTAAACGCTCCACAACGATCGTGATAATGGTCAATTACGAAGCGTCTCAGAGCCTCTAATTGAAAATTAAATTTTAACTGTGGGGTAATAAAATTTTTATTTATTAATGAATGCTCTCATGATTCATTTCATATCGCACTTGGTTCTTTTCGTATTTTACAACTGTATAATTCATGAATTTCCATTCCCTGGTGTACGTGAATTTATATGCGATTGACGTGGAGGAACTATACGTGTTGAAGAAGAAGAAAAAAAGTAAAATCGTGAGAGTAAAATTCTTTCGTGCAGCAGAACGGATTCCTAAATCCCCCATCGACGTGCTTACAGTTCGATCCGTTTTCCTGATTCCATCGTATCTTTTCCCGTGTATACACCAACAGAATTATTCATTCCACCCAGCAGAAGCCCCCTACCTATTTCCAATCCGATCTCACGACTGGGTATTACATCCTCCAGTGCTTGTAATAACTTTTAATCCTGAAGTAAACGAATTTCATTCCCAAGGTGATGGATCCATTTCAGTTGCATTTCATTTCATGTTCAGGTAGAGATGAAAGAGAAGAGAAAATCTGGTAGAGTTTTTTTAAATTTTACTCATCACAAAATGGGAAATAATTTTTTTTTCACGAACAATGTCAAAACCACACGAGGAAATTAATGAACCCGAGTTATTATTTACATTTATTCTCTTTTTACACAACGGTGATGGACAAAAAAAATGGGTGTGGTGATGGTTCTAATCTCGAATGACACTCGCAGCTGTTGTCTCTGTGCAAGTTTTGACATTTTTCTGTTGATGCAGTGAAACGATCACGCACCCGTGAGAACAACACAACGCCAGAAGGGTACCGACCCTGAAGAAACACGCGAATACACTTGGTATAACATCTCCTCCTCACCCAAAGGTGAAGAAAAATGTTAAAGTTTGAATGAAGGTTCAGTGGTTTTTTTCATCATAAATTTTTGCCTCTGCATGCATCTGCACGTTATTTCTCTCTAACGATTTTCCGCATGGTGTGGATGTGCTCCAGCATGATTTTCGTTTTTGTCTTGTTGTTCCAATATGTATGCTTACAAAGAAAAGCTGAAGAGGAAGATTGATAGGATTCCTCGAGAGAGGAATAAAATTAATGAAGAATTGGTAAAAAATTTAACACGACGAACTGGATGACAAGTGGTAAATTGTAGTAAGCCGCCACCGGCAAATTCGCCAATGAAACACGAGGAAACGTATATTATCCTGCCCCTTTGGAACACTAACTCCTACATCCTCCACTTTAGCTCTGAATGCAACAATCGATTCTGGTCGTCAGGGATGCACTCCTCTGTTACGAAATGATTTATTGGTAACAAGCAGCGGCCAACTGAATTGGAGACACGGAACGAATGGCTTATTGATTACCATCGTCTAGTTATAACCCTGGAGTGTTCAATTGCCGTACCGCCAATCGGATTAACGGAGGATATCATTTTCAATTATTTTGTCAATTTTTCTCCCGAAAAATTCAACTGCATGGTGGTGGCAAAAAAAAATGGATGAAAAAAAAAAGTTGAAACCCAATGAAACCGAACAGACGAGAGCAATTGCACACTATTGTCCCCGACTGAATTCCCCCTTTTGTTTCATTCAATTGAACTCAATTGTTTTTTCTTCTACGTTGAAATTTTGTAAAAATAAATTGTCGCAATCATGGAGCATTCAGCATTGTCACCGAGGCTAAACGTCAAATAATGGATAAAACCAATTGAAATTTCTCATGATTACGTCGAATCAGCGAATAGCTACCACGAAGGATTCAAAGCATTGGAGTGGGCTTGTCATTGCCACAAATCGATGGATGAACAACAAAACCGTATTCGCGAAACGTTGGTATCCGACTGGTGGCCATTAATAATCCAGCTAAAAGGGACTTTATGCCAATTGGTAATAGCATCCCGATGGTTGTCGATCACCAATGATAGGCACCCAGTGAACAAATGCAATGAAAATAAAACTCATCCTGAAAATAATTGAAACAGAAAACCCAATTGTTAACCAGGATGCTTGTTTTCATTTTCTATATCGACGGTTTTGTGAATTTGTTCATCTCCAACATTCTAAAAAAAAACATTTCTACGTAAATATGTCACGTTTTGTTTTTTTTTCCCTTTTTTTAAACACTGGCGTTTTGATGTTTGCGTTTGAAGGCTGGTGTCACGGACTTAAACCACGAAATAACATGGCTAGTACTGCGGCGGCGGTATTGATCCAGGCCTCATGAAAATAATGGGAAATAACTGGAGGTGAGGGTAAAATAAAAAGGTCTCGATTAACAGTGATAATAGCAAGGGGGTAAAGACGATAGAATCCAATCTCAATAAAGAATTACCATTTTAATAGTCTCCTTTACTCCTCCGACAAAAGACAATAGGAATTAAATCGAAATGGTAACCAGTATCGAATATTAATAATTTGTAGCAGCCAGTACTCACGGAAAATGGAAACAGTGGGCTATATCTCATCGCGCATTGAATCTGACGGGCGCGATTTGTCAGACTTTAGTCGACGCGTTCCGGCACATTGATTTCGGTCTCTGAACGATAAACTCGTAAACGACGCGCCATTACGATATTCGTGAGGATATAGTTGGGGGAATTCAAGGAAGGAGGGAAAAATCCACATATAGATATAGATTTCATTCGTCTTTTAGGGGAAAAATCTCGGAGTGCGATAGGACTAGTACTTGAGCGATAAAATTCCCTCGGTGAGAAAACTGCTCGGGCTTCGAGTATTACGTCAGCGGGGAGAGAAATAGAAGAACAAGGTAAAGATCATTGCGGGCAAGTCTCAAATAAAGGAGTGAATGCAGGTCAAAAGAATCAATTTATTTAAAACGTTCATCTTACATTTTTTTGTTCATTTACATTGATTTTTATGGTGAAGAGGAAGTGACAATAAAAGCTGTTGAGAAAAAAAAAGTTTGATGAATGCCGAGGTAACTTGGTTCTCAGAAGAAATATCTGATCCATTTGCAGGGTATATATGGCTTTGGACCTCCATAAATCATATACGGGTTATGAATGAGTCATATGGGGATCACATAGAATCTTCGTAGGGATTTATACTCTGTCGATGGCACGTGTATATAGCAGGATGTTGAAAGATTTTTGTAACCTCTTCGTTTATCTCGGGGATAATAGAATGAGCATGATGTTCGACAAATCAATATTATCTGTCTTTTGATAGATTGAATTCACACTTGTTTTTTTTTTCATTTTTGCATGCATTTTTCGATATTTTCCTCATCTATTCCAATGAATTTGATGACATAACGTTTGATATTGCGTTTAATAATAGACAGTAGATTTCATTTTTCATTCAGAAAACGTGTCATCTCATACTCAATGAAATCTAAATATAGGGTTGTCGTATCGGGTCATCTAAAATTATTATATCCGATTCCACATGACCCGTCCTGGAATACATCATGCAAAATGCATATTTGAAACACCAGATGATTTTCTGCTAAAATCAAGGAGTTCATATCGAACTGAAATTCCGTGAGGATAGAATATATCGTCCCAACACGTGTTCTGTAGTCTGCATATGTGCCAGTCATAAATTTGAAAACTGCAAAAAATAAAACTCGACGTGAAACATGTTGAATACATAAATTATAGTTTATAAACGTGTTCAATATATCCAGGTTTTTTGTAACATATTGTGGATATATACCTACCTAATATACCTTTTCATGCATGTCCCTGAGGATCAGTAGTCAGGGGCTTAGATGCAGTGATTACTGGGTACATCAAAGGAATGATTCAAAGGATAGAGTGATATATATTTAACAATCTCTATCCTGTTCCCTACCTGGATTATCTGTCCACCTCCGATGTATGTAAACAAGCTCAGATTTATTACTTTTCCGAAATATTCTATAAAAGAAGAACGTCCGCATGCCCGAATCGCAGGAAGACTTTATGAGCCAGTATTTTCTCGGCCAGCCATATCAGCCAGGAAAAAATCGTCGATTTCTCATATAAACACATTATAGATGATAAAATACGCGGAGGCACTGTCGGCCCGCCATTTTTATGACGTCACTTCCGGCCATTTTTTTTAATTACGTCACCTCCGGTGGGTCCTTTTTATGACATCACTTCCGGCTCGCCATTTCTATGACGTCAGTTCCGGCCCGCCCTTTCTATGACGTCACTTCCGGTCCGCCATTTTTATGACGTCACTTCCGGTCTGCCATTTTTATTACATCACTTTTGGAGTGATTAAGGTGGCCAGAAGTGGCGTCATCAAAATGGCCGACCGTCGAAGTGACGTCATACCGGAAATGATGTCATCACAAATGTTAAAAACGAAAATGATGTAATTAGAAATTACAATACAATAATGACGACAGTAGGAATAACGAAACTGGCAGTGACGCGGAGGCACTGTCGGCCCACCATTTTTATGACGTCACTTCTGGCCCGCCATTTATTATGACGTCACTTCCGGCCGACCATTTTTTATGACGTCACCTCCGGTCGGCCCTTTTTATGACATCACTTCCGGCTCGCCATTTCTATGACGTCAGTTCCGGCCCGCCCTTTCTATGACGTCAGTTGCGGTCCGCCATTTTTATGACGTCACTTCCGGTCCGCCATTTTTATTACATCATCACTCTTGGTGTGATTAAGGTGGCCAGAAGTGGCGTCACCAAAATGGCCGACCGTCGAAGTGATGTCATACCGGAAATGATGTCATCACAAATGTTAAAAACGAAAATGATGTAATTAGAAATTACAATGCAATAATGACAACAGTAGGAATAACGAAACTGGCAGTGACGACACGAAAGATGATTGTTTTCAGAACTCATAGCTGCGTATCCCCTCTTCTCGTGAAGTCTCCACCAGGAGATGGTATTCCCGAAAGATACGTCACGAGAGTAAGTTTGAACGTGCTAAAAGAGTGATGAGGTGCAGAGTGAGTTGGATGAGATGAAGAAGGGACTTTTCTGTAAAGTATAATAAAGTTTGGATGCACCCGGAAAGACGACAGCGACGACTGGGAGGCACAGGCATTCACGAAAAACTAGAGGAAGATGGAATGACGCCTGAGGGGTTTTTAGAAGGGGGGGGGGGGGGAGAGGAACGATTTCTGGGCTTGCCGTGGCATTTCCCAGTTTATTCGTAAAGCAGTTACGAAGTAGTTAAGCTACGCCGTGAAAACTTGGCACGAACGATGGTATTAACGCGGGATGCATTAAGAAATTGACAATCGACGATGAGTGTGAGTCGCAGGCCCATAACTAGACACGAACCCTACGTTTTCGTTCGTATGTAGATGTGACCATACATTACTGGGTTGTAAAACCCTATTCCAGTCATTTCCTCCATTTTCCTCCACCTCCTGACTCTTCTGGACATGTATAGGAACTGCTAGTCGATAACTTTGGAGGTGAGAAATTCACGTAATGGAATTTCCCATTCTCGTTATTGAATTTCGATGTGAATCCCCGAAACAGTTTCACGTCAATACCAAACTCAGAAGCTCAATTTTTTCTTTCATAAATGCGGTTGATTGTCGCAACGGCATTTGCATGTTGTATTTTTTTTTCTTTCCATAGCTGCTGGGATGGAAATTATGGCATGGCTTTTGGCGTTTCTCCCAATGAAAAAATTTCTTCTGTTATGGAATGTTTTTCGCCCTATTTTTATTCGTTCGAATCGAACAATATGATGTTTCTCATTTTTTATTATTCTTATCATCGCTTGTGAATGAATAATGGATTGTTATTTTCCAGTACGAAGAACGTTGAAGAATGGACTGTCGGAAGAAGAAAAGAAGCACATTGCTGCGTACATAAAAGGCTACTGAATCTATATTATTACGATAACTGTGATATATAATGTGCGCCATTGATGCCTCAGACGTTTTTTGAGGTGAAGAAGATGCAACGTGTTCGTGAGCTTCTCGGTGAATAAACGCAGTGAAAACAGAACGACTGTGGAAAGGCAAAGAAGAGTATCTCTGATCAAAAATAAGGGGCTAAGTGAATTCAATAGAGGGGGATATGCTCTATGAAAACATATTTTCTAATGTTTTTCGTGTTGAAAAAGAATATAAAGGAGAAGTAGCACGATAGATCGACTTCTACCACTTGATATTTGACTTGCAATGCCTTTTTCATGATAAAAACATTTTGAATTGGATGAGAACATGTGCATAGCCGACATTGCATCTGTGCATTCATCCGTGTCTGTTCTCATTCCTCTTCTCCTCCTCTCCCTCCTCCCTCAACTTAACTCTGCTGATTAACAAAAAATGTAACATCGATGTGAGGGCTCTTACGTAAATGGCGCGTCCCTGTGAACATACTCGGGATTTTCCCCAGTTCACAGAACTAAAGTTTAACTTTGAAGCAAAAAATAATTGGAATTTCTAGCCAACACTTGCTGTAACTATTGAAGTTTCTCCGATATTTTATTCCATGTTGAAAGATACAAATGGAAGTCGATCCATCGTGCTTCACTGTGATAAGTTAATGAATACTAAAATTTCATTTATTTGATGATAATGTAAAAATTGAAGCTGTTGAAAAATTATTTTCCCAAATTATTGGAGAAATTAATGGATTTTAGGAATGGAGACTCTAAGTCAACTGCCTTATCGTCTACGAGAATGTAGATGCACGATGAGATTTAAACTAGCCTTAATCTTTATTTTATTATCGATGAGATATGATGAATGGGAAATAATCATGTGAATAAATTTTTGTGATTGATGTTTCATGAAATAAAGAATGATGAATAAACAACCTGGGTGCGAGTTTAATTTATTTTCGTAGTTGGTTTAATCTAAATCTCTCTCTGGGTTTACGATGAGAAATTATTCAAGAATGTTGGATTGGCCGAGATGAACTCAAAAATCTCAAACAGTGCACGAGGCCACCAGTGATGAATTCAATTAAATTAAATTTTTATATTGCATTGAGTGAATTAGTGAAAGTCACGCAATTCCATCCATCGACGCTGAAAATCGTGAGTGCTGGTCACTTAATTACACCGGACTCACTGTATAAATCTCCCAATAGGTAAATGGGGAAATTTAATGAATGAAGGGGAGAGCTTTTTTAACAAAATGTGTACATGACACATGATTTATTATTAACCTTCGTCCAACTTTAACAACATAAAATATAATGTAGTAATAAAACGTATTTTTAGTTTTACCTTAATAATGATAGCGACGAGAACGTACATTTTCTTGTTTTCTCTTAAAATCTTTCACGCGCTCTGAAACATTCTCACGCTCACAAAAAATTTATTAACTTCATTTTAGTTTCAATTTCACATATTTCAAATTTTCTTATCAACTTATTCATGAGATGTTAGATTTTTTTTTCGATAGTCCAAAGTTGTTCTCAGAGTACCGAGGAAGTAGAAATTTTACAATTTGTATACCTTATTTACGAGACATTCGTGGATGAGGCGGGGGATATACAGAAGCATCAGCAGGATGGTGAAGGGTAAATCGAAATGATCAGGAAGATTGTCAGGAAGGGTCCAGACTCACACGTTCATAAAATTTAGCATATTTTTTTTTGTATTTTTCCCATTTTCATAAAAAAAAATCACTTGCGTTCTGGGATTCAGGCGGCTGATTTTTTTCCTATATATATACTGCATTCGAGAGAATACACACAATCTCACTTTGTGCCCACCCATTCTGCAGAAGCATATGCACAAGAAAGAGTTCACAAATCTTCTCTTGAAAATCGAAATATGTAAGTACATTTCAGCACGTTTTCTTTTTTCATTTAAAATTCACTTTGAGAATCATGTCCACCCATTAGTTGTGTTGTTGAGATGATGAATTTAAGTTTCACGGAATTTTGCCGGAAGGGTCAATTTCAAAGTTAGGAGCCAGCTAAGCCAAGATTTTCATGGCTCTCGAGTAAAGTTCCCTCGTATTCCACAATACAACATTCCCCTTTGTATTATTTTGCGCTGTGTACCTGTATCTGGCAGTTCTCTCACTTCTGGCACACCTCGTTACCAAGTAACTTGTAGTCCCTTCCTCCTCCTCTCCTTTTGGATACAACCAGCAGTGATGACGTTTCGCAAGTAGACCGTTGGAGAATGGCCCACTACCCCGATGACAACCTCGATAAGTATACTCGTCTGAACTATCGCCTCACAGTTCATCGTGCTTTGGACCGCTGAACTCATCGTGCGAGATGAAACCATTCTTATCAGTGTCCTCGTGTTGGAAAATCTCCTCAACTAATTTATCGTTTTCAGCAAGCATTTTCTTTATATCGTCGTTGTTATCATCTTCTTGCCCTGTCTCGTGCATCTGTTTTTTGAGGTACCGGCTAACCTGTGGAATAAAATAAATTCATTCAATCTCAGTTTACGAGTAGCCCCGGATTTTTACATTCTAATCTGTTGAAATTGCGATTGCATCGATTTTCTTTCCTTTTCATTTGGACTCGAATCGTCACTTCGACGAATATATTCATGCAACCATCACCGAGATTCCCAGAGTTCAAGAGGAACTAAAAAATCGATCTTGCCATTATCCTCACCTCCTCGCGGGACAGCAGTTTGTCATTGTTCGAGTCAATCTCCTTGAAGACATTGGCCGTCGGTGGTGAGTCACTGATGTTGATGAGTTCCACGTCAAACAGCAGAGTGGCATCTGAAATAAATTTATCAAATCTGAATATCTACCACATGGATTTTTATTCCCAACTTATAAATCCCAAACCCCAATCTCAACTTTTCCATTTTCTCCTTATGACCCTCCCCCCCCCCCCCCCCCCCCCCCCCCCCCCCCCCCCCCCCCCCCCCCCCCCCCCCCCCCCCCCCCCCCCCCCCCCCCCCCCCCCCCCCCCCCCCCCCCCCCCCCCCCCCCCCCCCCCCCCCCCCCCCCCCCCCCCCCCCCCCCCCCCCCCCCCCCCCCCCCCCCCCCCCCCCCCCCCCCCCCCCCCCCCCCCCCCCCCCCCCCCCCCCCCCCCCCCCCCCCCCCCCCCCCCCCCCCCCCCCCCCCCCCCCCCCCCCCCCCCCCCCCCCCCCCCCCCCCCCCCCCCCCCCCCCCCCCCCCCCCCCCCCCCCCCCCCCCCCCCCCCCCCCCCCCCCCCCCCCCCCCCCCCCCCCCCCCCCCCCCCCCCCCCCCCCCCCCCCCCCCCCCCCCCCCCCCCCCCCCCCCCCCCCCCCCCCCCCNCCCCCCCCCCCCCCCATCGACAGTCCCCCAATATCACAATGCTATCAACCGTTGGCAAACCTCGTAAATCATTTACTAGCCAATCGTAAATGATGGCTACATGGTTACATACAAGTATATACAGGTATTTCGTTGATATCAACTGGATGGTTGGACACGAGGGATTTCCAGAGTGTCAGATACGTCGCATCGAATCAACCGTCAATGGGAAGTGGGAAGTATTCGGGAGGATGAGATGACACAGGCATCCCTTTCACGTTGATCGTTCTCGCTGGGTGCCACCTGACGATCTCCCCTCATGTTCAATCAATTTCACCACACTTCGATTAAACGAGAGGGAGCAAAAAAAAGGGACATATATTTATGTCATCAAGTGAGATGAAGAGAAGAATTGGGAAATCGAATTACAATCATTTGGAGGAGTGACGGTTGTAATGAGCGGGACTTCAACTAGATGAATGTCACATTGTCTGGATAATAAATGGATTGAGAAAAAAATATCAAAAGATTTTCCTCTTTGAAAATTTAATTCTAGAAGTGAAAGTGTAGAATTAGAATAGAAGATTTCTCCCTATTAGTGTTGGCGGTGACGTCATACGGGTCTCATTAATTATCCAGTATACCCCCATTCGAATTATCTTCAATACCATTGAAACGTGTTTAATTAATAACCGATTGGAGGTACAATAATAATTGATACCTGTCACTCGTTTTGTTATAAACAGAATCGATGTAAACACATTTCCATCGCATAAAGGGCAAATTTTCGGTAGAACGGGATCATGGAGCAATTGGAGAGGGTTGGGCTTAACGAACTGCACTACGCATTAATTACGGATGGTCCCGGTGCGATTAAATAGACGCTAATGAAATATGGCGCTCAATTATTCGCTGTTTGAACGAGTGAAATTGATAACTTCTCCTGGTCCCACTGGTGCTACTCATTCTCTCGATCCCTATCCCATTGAATTTGACATGAATATTGGCGAGTTTTTGAGGAAAAAAAAAAACAAAACGGGAATGTTCAAGAGCTGACGTATGTGAATTTTGCCAGTGAATGCTGGAGGCTATTTTATTTGGGCATCCGGGCAACCTTTTATACTGCCGGAATGTTTTTAATGGTGCTCTCATGTTGATTACGCACAAATTTTGAATATTTTCAAATTTTCATGAAACTAATTGCGAACAAAATTTAAAGAATGAATAAAGAGTCCTAATAATCCCAGTCCTATATTCCAGTAATTGAGTGAGCATTTTCGCTGTAATTAATTCAAATGAAACTCTCAAAGCAATGAAAATGAGTGGTAAAATTATAATGCACTTTTTTTTGTCGTTAGAACAGAGGAGCACCAACTTTTCCATTTTTCCATGTCACATCTACCATTTTTACCACGCTCGAATGACGTTAATTCCCTTTTGTCCATACGCAAGGGGGAGAAAAAAAGAATAGAGAAGACATTGACAATTAAAATTGTAAAGTAATTCGAAGAGTGACAGAGCCCTTTAATCTCACGCCACACGGACGAACGAGTTATCGATTCAGTCGATCCCCTTCCCATCGCCGGATAGACCGCCGATAATTGCTGTACCCCCATATATGCCAAGAGTACAGTGAGTTGAATCGTTTCGACGTGTCGATATATGGTTCTCCATACTGTTGGATATCGATTTCACCGAAAATACCGCAAGACATACGTAACTGATGCCGTCGAATCCGTATCATTTTTTTTTATTCCAATTGCTCAGATTTCCAATTTTATGCAATTTTAAATTGTAATTGGAAGAGATTTTTATCCTCTTGCATTCCCCCTATATTTGTATTATTATTTTTATCCAATCAGAATTTTTAATACTGAAATTCTAATCAACGTTTGGCCCTGACGAAGGCGATTTTTTTCTACCGGAAATCATCTAGAATAAAGTTTAATATTCACTTCATTCAAATGAAGTATCTCTCGGGGTCTGATGCAATAAACCTAATTTAGTCGAGAGGATGTTGCACTCGAAGCACAGGTGGCAGTATGATTGCAGGATGAAGTTCACGTTATGCAATTATTCACGTGATTTCAACATTACCCATATGCATATCAATTCAATGATTTCAAATTTTTCTATTGAAGCATCAGAATATCGTTGATTCATCTCTGTATTGCACAAATTATTCTCAATTCTCATGTTTAATATAATTTTGAGAAATCAAAATAATTTTGAGATGCCCTTGGAATCATTAAATTATTATAAATTCCCAGTCCAATTCTTACTTCACAGTAATTTTTTTACAAGAAGTCCTTACCTGGTGGAATAACATTTCCAGCTCCCTGAGCGCCATAACCGAGTTCAGGGGGAATGGTCAATTTCCTCTTCTCTCCGACACACATATCAAGGAGCCCCTGGTCCCACCCCTTGATTACTTGTCCAACTCCAAGCTGAAATGTAAAAGGCTGATCCCTATCCAGACTGCAACAAAAAAAAACGAAACATGAATAAAAAATTTTGTTGAATGAACACAAAAAATTCACCAAAATTTCCAAATGTTTTCTTTCCTCCCTCTGTGTTAACCAATTTTATTCATCAATTCAGAGCACTTCTCACACATTTACTGAGCCGATTTCCCTCAACTTTATCGCAGAAGTACAATTGTGCAAGCATGAATACTGACAGAGTGGTAGTTGCCTGCAGCAAGCAGTTTGGAAGTAATTGAAGCACTACTCAACGAACGTACACACTCAAATGCAGATGTTTCGAAACCCTTTCAAAAATTCAGGCTGGACCAAACATTTTTCCCCATTTCCAAAGCTTCCATTGGAAACCCAACCCAGCGACTCTACCCCAAAAAGGTTTTTTTTAGTGATTAATCCCTTAAAAAGTGGAACGCAATACCGCATGTTGTTACCATCAACCATTAATTAATGTTAAACTTTTAACGATGTTTGATCATAAATAAATTTTACGGGATTTCTCCAGCGGCCAGGAAACTCCTTCGAGCCCCAAGTACCTCCATGTCATTCAATTATTTCATCAACCAGCCTTGTTTACGAGCCACAACTTGGCAGAAACCGAGAGCTTATCCCTCACTGGCCTATATACACGAGGGGTAAGCTATGTCGTACTGACATTTACTAGACCTCCAGGTTCGTGACTAGGGAGAAGGAGATAGACAACGGCTGAGTTTACTGTCGAGACCTGACCGTCGACCGTATTTCAACATTCGTGGAGAAACCGCCCGGAATGCCCTAACCCACATCTCTCCCTCACTCAACTTTTAAGTGTTTTTGTTATGATCAAACATTAACTTCTACACAAGATGCCATTATTGTTGTTGTGAATGTGCAATTTTCATTTTTAACATGTACCATTTCCTTCTTTCATTAAAATTTGGAAAATTCTAGTTCAACTTTTCCATGATAATTAATAGTAATAATGAAAATAAAATTATTTAAATTTTTAACACGCACCATTTCATTATTTTTTTTACTTTCCCATCGAAAATACTGTAATACTAACGGTATTACTTGTATCAGTTGAATAAAACAGGGTATTGTCTCTGTTATTTCCTCCCAACCCCTTTCATTTCCCTGAAACCCTGGAAAATTCATCGAGAGCTTTTCGCAAATATTGAAGGGTATAACCAATAGAGAGTTGTTGTTGACTGCATGAGCAACCCCGGAGAATGCTCCATTCTCAACTCTGTAACACAACCAATTTTCGTCCCATTGTTCTGGACTTTTCCAATGACAAACTCTTTCAATGAGAAAAAGTTGTTTCGTTAAACGTACTAAAAAGTAATGGGTGAAATCGATAGTTTCATAACAATTGAAATCGCAAATTTCTCCAACTTTCCAGTGGTACTATCCGTATTGAGTCAGCCCTCACAGTTTACGAAATATTCCTGTTGTGTTGTGAAATTTGTTATTTAGAAGTGTTGTTTTATTAGAAAAGTATTTTTCTTCTTTTTTTTATCGTAATCCGCCCTTCGCTGCCACAATTTTACTATCAAAAAATGACTATAATTAAACCACGCCCCTCGATATCGTGACCAAAACGAGTATAACTCATTTATTCTCTTTTTACCGAGGGATCAAGCGATAACGCAGGGAACATTATGTCTCCGAAGCTCCCACACTTGAGGGATTTTAACAATTCAAGGGGATGTCACGGGTTCACGTGATATATCTTCGAGCCCTAAAAAAAAGCCGACAAGAAACGAAATAAGGTTTTTCCCAGGAGGGAAGACAACCACGGCAAAAAAAAATCTCACATTCTCACGAAATTAATTGAATTTTTTATGGAGCAAGATAAAGCGATAATTTGATTGCAATTCACGTTGTACACTGATAGACAGAATTAGCTATTGTTAACAAATGGATTTGCTTGAAGGCTAAGGGTCTATTTAGTCTCATCAAATGTTCATTCGTTAATAGTTAACGAATGCATATTTGAGAAGTCTTGTTTGACTCGACTCTCACCTTTCAAGTGAACCATTCGTTAACTATTAACGAATATTTGTTTGGTCATATTCAACTCAACCATTCGTAAATAGTTAACGAATCTCGTTTGGAATAAATGAATCATTCTATCAGTGCACCCGGAAGCAGATCAATTCGGATAGAGTGGAATGAAATATTCAACCCGTGAAATAATTCGATACTGGGTAAAAAAATATGGAGAAACAGATTGAAATTAATTTTTCACAACTTTCAACCCGCCGAGTGGATAGAGAAGTGAGGAAGAATGTCGCGGAGGACATTTCGTCTCTGCGTAAAATGCATTTGACTCGAAAGTCTCATGGCCCGAGACTCTTTCTCCATTCTAATGTCTTCATTTGAATATCCTCATCCCCAATCTCCATTCCAACGAATCCACTCCATTTTGTCTTCGTCCTAGATGGCCATTGTTATCATCCCGTATCACTCTCGCCCGCCATCTTTTATGTATGCATTAATCTCATTTGAATGTTAAAAATGGTGAATGCAACGGCCTGAAATCGCATTAATAATGCGTTTTCCGTCAAGAGAATAATAATAAAATCACATTTGAAAAAACACAACAAAATTCTTTACCCCAAAGGACAACCGGAAAAACATTTAGGAAAGCACAGATATCAACGAGTGACTATAGAATTAATGTCGGAATTACACCCTCGAGTTGAAAAACGCCTGAACAAAGTGGTGCACAGCACCGAAAGAAAAACATAAATTTCTTTCAGTCGCTTGTTCCGAGCTTATGCACACGGTTACATGAAGATATACCATTTTCCAAGGGGGTATGATATTATGTACACCTTCGGGCTACTGTCAGACCCACCGCTGGGGTTCGCTGGGGAAAAAAATGAGGCCTGCAAGATGCGTCCAAGGCACCCGCTACTGAAATTTATTTTCCGCAAAAACGGAAAAGAGAGTAATATTAAAAAATAAAACAGTCTTTGCGTGCTTTCTCTTCGTTGCAAATCCAGCAGATAAAGGGGATGTAAAAGACTGAAAAAGGAAGGATAATGTGGTGGAAAAAAAAATTGAGGCAAAAGCATGAGAAATAATATCAAATAATATTTCGTTGGAAGGTGGTATTTTCTCCATTTTTCCTTTTCATTTCTCTTCATCCTTTGGAATTCCAAAAAATACGAGTCTCGTTAACATATCAAAGGTGGCAAGAATATTCAAATTTACGACCGACAAAGCCAAAATACAGTGCATGAGTCTGTGTTTCTCCTTCAACTTTAAAACCCCATATCCCTATTCCCCCGTCACTCTATACATTTTCGCAAGAAAAAAAATTCCTTTACCCCATTCTTTATTACAAACGGTGAGAAAATCCCTCATATATATGAACGCTAGGATGAGCTTTAACCTTTCGATGAATAAAAAGAAAAACTCTCGGCCCATTTGGCCCCACCCCCCTCCCGGAAACTTCATTTTACTTTGGAATTTTTATCTAGACTGTGGGAGTATATATCTTCGAGCTTAAGCTCTTTATTGTCCGGTCATATATTGCGTACGGATTTCATTCACCTACCCCCTTGTAAAAATTCCTATATAAAAGGCATACCACTTCTTTCAGATCCTCCCCCTCCCCATATCGATCCGTCATACATTTTCAAGAAGAGAAATAACGATAAGAATCCGGAGGGGAGGGACGAGAATAAATGTGAACAGGGTCATCAAATAAGTTGAGGGTTTCCAATCATTTTCAAGATCCTCTTGTGCTCTATAAACGGTTATACGAGGCGAAAGTATCAATTCAAAATGACTGTGTAAACGTAGACCAGCGATATGTCCCAAGTACCAGAGGCTGAACGTTACTCTCAGTACATGGGTACCATGTTAACGACGTGGGCCATAAAGACGATTACTAAACTTGTAAATGATGATTTTATATCGAGGAAACGATGGAAGAGTCGGTGATTTGATGACGATAATAGTTCCATGCAGAAATTCCTCGTTTGCATTCAATATAAATAAAGCCATTCAGCTTTAAATGGCTATTGAAGATATCAGTGATGAGGTAATCACCTAAAATCTCTTCAGACATTCAACAACTTCTCATCCACTCGGCGAGTTGAAGCCTGTAGTCATCAATAATCTCAATTAAATAAGCCTCAGCGAATGATTCTTCGAAAAAAACAAAATTTAATTACGATAAATCAAATGCGAAAACAAACTCCGTAACCCCAGGATAAAAATCCATTTTGCATTATCAAAAAACAGAAATCTCTCGTTTGCATATAGCATGAAGAAATCCATTTGGTCTTAAATGGTACCTATTGGAGATATCCGTGATGAGCTAATCACTCAGTAGAGACGATTGATCGTTTCTAGACTTACAAATTATTGGAAATCTCTTCAGACATTCAACATCTACCCATTTACTCCGGGAGTTGAACTCTGAAGTCATCAATAATTCGTCGAATTATTCCAAGAATATCTGAATTATATAAACCAAAGTAAATAATTCTATCAGAAAAAGAAATTAAATTACGATACATCCGATATGAACACAAAGTCGATAATCCTAGGATTAAAACTCCACACCTTATTAATCCCTTCGGAGAGTTTGTATTATGAAAAACCAGGAATCCCTCATTTGCATACAACATGAAGAAATCCATTCGGTCTTAAATGATATCTCCTATTGGAAATATCCGTGATGAGCTAATCACTCAGTAGAGACGATTGATCGTTTCTAGACTTACAAATCACTGGAAATCTCTTCAGACATTCAACATCTACCCATTTACTCCGAGAGTTGAACTCTAAAGTGATCAATAATCCGCCAAATTATTCCAAGAATACCTGAACCAGATAACCCCGAGCGAATAATTCTTTGAGAAAAACAAAATTTAATTACAATACATCAGATATGAGAACAACCTCGATAACCCCAGGATTAAAACCCACATCTTATCAAATCCCTGGGGAGAGTTTGTATTATCAAAAACCCAAACTTTCTCCGAGACAACTCTTGGTCATTAACCCAAGCGTTTCCATCTCCCCCGAGCAAAACCATAGAAAGCAAAATACGAGAGCTGCAACAAAGAGCGATTCAAAACAAAAGAAGTGCGAGAAAGATGATTCTTAGGTAAATCTAGCTGGGCACCATCCCGAGGGCATTTGCCGAGTTTCTTCTTATCCCTGTTTTGCTTCTTGGCGCTCTCACCCCTCACCCTTTAAATTTCAAGTGCGAAGATACGTACAACGGTGGCTTAATGCAGATTTAGATAGCTCGGGGCTCGGCGGCGTGCCCAGCTTTTAAGTCTCGAGGACTTAGGCTAATTAATTTATAGACACCCATTTCTCCCTGGTTCGGAGATGCCCGAAGGCTTTGGTGGCGCGCTCTAGTACCGTCGGGCTTTCGTACGTGCGGCATTCGCTCGTGTATGCACCTCAGATCTGTTAACATTTTCTTCCGCCCCCGCCGGTGGGCCTCCAAACACCGCAGTTCGCGTGCTTGTCCCATCAAGCTTTAACGTACCTCAACCCTTTACTCATCCTTTAGCAACTGTTTGAAGATAACACTACAACTCACAGTCCTCTTCTATCCTTTTCAAAACCACTCAATTCCCCTTTTGCTTCGCTACTGCGTGTTGGCGTATCAACGACTAAACGCCTCCAGCCCTCTTTGTACAGTCGTGGTGGCATCCATTCCGAAGCTTTCATGTTGAAAATGTTACCGCGTTTGATGAACATTTATGGTGAAATGTGGCCTGAGAGCGTGTTGGAGAAGATTTATCATTAATTCGGATAATCTTTTTTTTAGGGGAAGCTTCTGAATAGGTTGAATAGACATTATGGTTTGAATTTGTCTAAGTAGTTCATAATTTCAACTAAATATTCCCTTCTGATTTTTTCGGCATGAAATCGATTTCCCAATAGTATATTGTGTTACAAGTGCGTAAAGAACCACTTTTTCCTACGCACGCGTAACACATCCTATTTTTTTGTAATACCTGCCGAGTTCACTGTTCGGAACCGTAGTGGGGGTAAAGTGGTTGCTTTTGTGCACGGTGTGCGTAAAGTTCAAGGTCAGTTCACTTTACGCACGACCTCTGAACTTTATGCACATTGTGCGTAAAACAACCACTTTACACACACTAAACGGTTTCGAAAAGTGAACTTTCGAGGCAGGTATTGAAAAAAATATTTTTTTCATGTTGCAATTGAAATTCCCAAAAATAATTGACGTGTAATTTTTTTTTTACGTTTCCTACACGGAGAGGAATTTTTGATAAAAATTATCCTACCGTTCTATGAAAGTGTATCATGAGTCATCAATTCCTCATTTCTATCCCCAAATTTAGTAAAAATTAATATATGATGATCAAATTTTATTCTACTTTAGAGAAATTTTATCCTGACGCATGATAAATTTTACCCTTCCAGTCCAATAATGTTTATGTAGATAACAACGAAAATTGTAGAACGGTTGGTAAATTTTACCCTACTGGTACAGTAATTTTTACTCTAATGGCACGGTAATTTTTATTTTTATCCAGATAAAATTTCTCTAACGTAGGATAAAATTTGATCATCATATATTAATTTTTACTAAATTTGGCGATAGAAATGAGGGAACGATGACTCATGATACACTTTTATAGAACAGTAGGATAATTCTTATCAAAAATTTCTCTCCGTGTACGAGTTTAAAATGGAAAGAAGAGTTTTCTCTCCCGCTACCCATGAAAATAAATTATCTATCACTGCAATAACATCTCCAGTAGTTGACCCAGTGGTAAATAAATGTTTGCTGATAGTGAATATTAAACGTGTGAGGGCGGCAAATTATTTTTCCCCAGTGACACAAATTCGAAGTTGTCTATACGTAGGGGTGAATTGTGACATGGTGAATTGGGTTTTCCCCGGAAGTTGCAAGCACTGGCCATGTTGGGATTTCCCATGCGGTGTGTACGTTACCCTACGCTGTTCCATGAAATATGCAATCTGCTTTCTTGGAAAGCCGTCGTAACAGCCACCAACCCCCCGGCTCCAACGCAGAGTGTGCCAATGTTAGCTACCCCCCGCCCCAAGCCCACCAATTCCGCTTTTCCCTCTCGCTTCATGCAATCTATCCTCTTTTCTGCAGCAGCTAGTAGACCGTTGACCGCTGCTATGACGGCATTTCTAATCTTGGCACGACAGCCATCCCCGGAGCCCCCACTGCGTGACAATCGAATTTGCGGAGAGCCATGTAGTTGATCGAGATCACAATCGTGTGGGGCATAAAAATGAGACGATCATGGTGAACGAACAACATATTAGGGGACGGTGAAGGCGAATGGCGAGGGAATTCCCGAGTAATCGTATTTAAATATCGCCCGAAGGACGAAAAACTCGGCAAGTTTAAATTTTTATTTAAACAAAATTAATATTTAATATTTGGAATTAATTCGGCGTTCAATAAGACTCTTATTCAGCTGAATAATGCTTGATTTTCTCAAATTATAATTCAGTATAGCGAAGTGGTAAACTGTTTTAATTTTGAGGAATATTTCCGAATCTAAGGGAGATAGCGAAATGTTCGTAATTACATTTGTTGTAGCTCTCAATCGGCTCTACAAAAAAGATTATAACAAAAATTTTGCCATCTCCCTTATATTCCGAGATATTCATTGAAAACTGGTCAATAGTCAAAATTAACTTAAACCGTTTTACCACTTCGCTACTGATTCCACTGGAATTTCAAGGAATTCATTATTAAAAATTCGCATCCAATTATTCCATGAAATTTCATTTCATCAGTGAGTATAAAAAAAATGTTTACTTGTATTCACGAATATCGTACTTGCCTCTCCCAAAACTTATTGAATAGATCATTCAAATTGGGCATATAATGGAGCTCCCACAGTAGTCTACAATATTTCCCCTCCCCCAGCATCAGCAATATTTGATAAAAGCGTGAGTCCCCTTCTGTCGTCAATAACGACAAACCCACAACTATACCAAAGCGTTGAAGAGTTAATTTCATCTGACGAGCTTATTGCCTCCGACGGAGGGAAGGGAAATAGTCTCAGTGAAGTAGCACAGTCTGTGGGCCCTGGCAGGAGTAATAGTGCCGGTAGAAAATGATTATCCCCGGAGCGATCGAGTGAAAACACGTCAAGAGCCTCAATCCCCAGATGATGGTTAGGTGTGTCGAATACCTCCTGTACATTGGCATCTCCAGCACAAAAGAGATTTTGGTTAAGTGCCGTAGCGTTGATATTAATGCTGAGATAAGGAGCCTGGGTGACGATGGTTAGATGAAAAAGAATGGAATAAGGAAGGAAGTGGGAGGGGGTGAGGGCTCGAGGGGAGAGAGATGGAGGAGTGGTGGGGTGGGTGTGTTAATGGATTTCTGAAAAGTTTTCCGGCTACTCGGGCCTCTGTTCGAGCGGAATATGAAGTTCCGAGTTGTGAAATTAGCGAGTCTTTAAAGGACGCACTGTAAAAAAGAGCGTCTTACTCGTGCCTTTGGTTTTTGAACTGAGTTTCCAAGCACTTGAGGAAAATAAAGATAGAAAAAGCTTTTCGCTTCGCTTACAAGCGTCCCTATATACTCTGCGGAGGTGTTCAATGTTTGAGGATGAGGCTTGGTTGAAAGGTATGTTCAGAGGGTAGAAATGAGTATAATTGGCTTGG